GTCCTGCTCATAATATCAAATTTAAAAAGATAAAGGTATTTATCCAGAGTCTTTAAATAACTATTCCAGTCACATTTTCATGGAATGAAGATATCACATATATTCTTATCAGGTTATTGGCAGTCTACCCCAAACAAATGTCACCATAGAGCCATCTGGTGCATTTTTCCTGCAACTTCACTGAAAAATTATTGATGCTACTCAAAAATCTAGATTACACTACAGAATGAAAATAAAAATAAAATAATTCTTCATAGCGTAGAAGCGTAACAAATAGCATAGAAAATTTTGTATTGTTGTGGTTTGACACTGAAAGAAAAAGGAAGAATTATTTACTGCCTTTTATATTTTATGAAACAGAGACAGATTAAGAATCCAATCTGACCCGTGATTCTTCCCATTTTTCTCATCTTTTGCACCTAGGGCAATTATAAATTTCTAATTAAGATATTCTAGGGCTATTCTTAATTTCTAATACCACTAGTACTACACCTTTGTGGGAAATCATGACACAGGAAGTGCATAATTCAGGTGCTGACGGTTTTGATTTTTGGGTTTGATTTCTTCTGTAATAGATCACCTGGTGATGAGTGGGAAGGCTCATGTTTTGGGAAGGCTTGAGAAGACAATATGAGTTTACAGATTACTACAAAATAGTGGCATCAATGTCAGCTATTCTTATTTCTTCTTTGTTTCTCTTCTGGATTATAATTTGTTGTAAATTGGGTCACTGTCCTGAGGAAAAGAATAATGCACCAAAACAAAACTACAGGGGTGTGAGATTCATATAACATATAAATCACACAAATTGTGCAGGTGATCCACACAGTCATTGCAGACACAGTATCATTTGTGCTGCTTCCCTAAATGCACAGAGAGAAAAGACTGACAAAAATATTTGCTAGAGAAGAAGCTCTGTGACAGAGAAGCAGAAAGAAAGGTTTTTGTATCATTAGGGATGGGGTTTATTTAAGGGCCTGTTTTCAGTGTAAAATTAGGGAGAAAGTATATTTCTTCTAATACTCTCAGATAACCACTTGGGACAATTTGTAACGAAAAAAAGGGATGTTTCCCTTTGGCCTAATTGGAGTCAGCTGCTGCTGTGCTCGGTTTTAGGAAGTTCATGCCATTCAGTATGAATCTCTTTTGCCATCTGCTGAAAATACTGAAGATCAGTCATCTGCAGTTTATTTCTGGATAGGTCATGTTAGGTAAATGGGCTGATGCTTCTTGTGTGCCAAAGATTGAATATTATGCAAAAATAGGATGGCGGAATGGGAAGAGTATACCAAAATAATGCAGCCAACATTTTTTGAGCACTGTGCAATGAAACAGAACCATTCAGCAGTGTCTTGAATTAAGCTACTTCCCTGGCAGCTCTGTGGCAGCTAGCATGATATATCTGGATTTCCAGCTTTTGTTCATTTGTTCTGACATTGCCTGAAGGATGCATGGGACTTCCTTTGAACAAAAGTGATGTTACAGTACTTGAACAGCATGAAATGGCAAATGATGTCACTTCATACACCTTTTCTTTAATTTTTAACAAAGGCTGGAAGGCTAATAATATGTTATTTTTTTTCACTTACAGGAATGCTGTACATTCCTAGCCCTTCAAAGGTGAATATAAGCTCAATTCAGCTCAAGCTTACTTTCATAAAAATCTCAGGGAAAGGTAAAGAAATTGCAATTTGGCATCAGTGTGTACCATATTTTACGTCTTTAAAATTCCTGGATTTTCAAATACTGAAAACTATTTCTGTATTAATTCCTCAAACACTCTCAGTTTCAGAGCTTCCTTTACTTAAAATCACAGTTAAGAAATGTGAGTGGGAAAATTTACATACCTACAGTATAAATTTTCAAATTACAAGTTTTCAGAAGAGGATTAAAGATTATCTGTATTGCTCAGGGTTTTTTTGCATTGTATTTAAGTTTAGATGTTCAAAGTCACAGAATCACAGAATCATTAAAATTGCAAGACCTCTGGACTTCACCCAGACCAACATCTTTGCCAAAGCAGGGTCACCTAGAGAAGGTGACACAGGAATGTGTCTGAGTGGGTTTTGAGTATCTACAGAGAAGGAGACTCCCCAGCCTCCCCAGGCAGCTATTCCAGTGCTCTGCCACTCTTACTGTAAAGAAATTCTGCCGCTTGTTGAGGTGGAACTTCTTGTGCTTTAGTTTAGGGCTGTTACTCCACATTCTGGTTTTGGGCACCACTGAAAAAGAGTCTGGCACCATCCTCCTGACACCCACCTTTGGGATGTTTCTATGCATTGATGAGATCCCCTCTCAGTCTTCCCCAGACCAAACAGGCCCAGCTCCCAGAGTCTCTCCTCACAAGAGAGAAGCTCCAGACCCCTGACCATCCTTGTGGCTCTCCACTGGACCCTCTCCAGCAGCTCCTTGTCTCTCTTGTGCTGAGGAGCCCAGAACTGGACACAGCACTCCAGGTGTGGCCTCACTGGGGCTGAGTAGATGGGGAGAGTCACCTCCCTTGACCTGCTGGCCACACTCTGCAGCCCAGGGTACCACTGGCCCTCCTGGCCACAGGGGCACTGATGGCTCATGGACAACTTGTGATCCACCAGGAGTCCCAGGTCCTTCTCCCCAGAGCTGCTCTGCAGGAGGTCAGCCCCAGCCTGTGCTGGCACTTGGGGCTGTTCCTCCCCAGGAGCAGGACCTGACACTTGCCCTTGTTCAGCCTCATTAGGTTTCTCTCTGCCCAACCCTCCAGCAGATCAAGGTCCCAGGGAATGGCAGCAGAATGGATCAGCCACTGCCCCCAGTTTAGTGTCAGCAGCAAACCTGCTGAGGGTGCACTTGATCCCTCCGCTTTCCAGGCATAGAGGTGAGGCTGACTGGCCAGCAGTTTCCTGGGTGCTCCTTGTTGCCCTTTTTGAAGATGGGAGTGACATTGGCTTTCCTCCAGTCATCAGGCACCTCTCTATTATTTTGCAAAGAAGATGCAGAGTGGGCTTAGCAACAACATCTGCCAGCTCCCTCAGCACATGTGTATGCTTCCCATCAGGGCCTGTGGATTTATGGCTTTGTCTGCCTAGCCGATCTCTAACCAAACCCTCAATGGCCAAGGGCAAGTCTTCCTTTCTCTGGCCTTTCTCTCTTGCCTCCAGTGTCTGGGTTTCCTGAAGAATGGCCTCAGCAGTTAAGTCTGAGGTGAAGAATGACTTCAGTTACTCTGCCTTCTCTGTATCTTTTATCACCAGGATAGGCTTCCCATATAGCCTCTATCTTTTTCCACATTTCATAAATTTCTTCTGTTTGATAGAAGGTCTCTGCTCATCCCTGTAGGTCTCCTGCCCGTTTTGTTTAATTTCTTGCTCATGGGAAAACATTGGTCTTGAGCTTTGAGGACTGCTGAATATTGACCAGCTCTCCTAGACTCCCTTGTCTTCTGTACCTCTAAGCCATGGAATTCCTCTAATTAGGTCCTGTTGATTAGGGCTGCTTCTGATGAAAATAATGCATTACCTCAATGCCATTAAAAAAGCCTTGACTAGAGCCTGTTTTGTTCCTGTTATTTGAGTACAATGATATCAAGAACTAGAGTCCACATAGTTTCTTAAAGGGTAACAAGAGAGGAAAACTTCTTTTGAAGATGACTGAGGTTTCTGAGGGACAGTGACTTTTTTCATGTTCTTCTTTAAATCAAGAATCATATTAAAATTCATTTTTATAGACTGACAGTCTTGCTTGAATTCATTCTTGTTGTATATCTGCTTGCAGACCTATAACTTTTCTTAGATTTATTTTTCAAAATAAACAGCATTTTCTCTTTTATATGTCCTCATGGTACAAATGTCCTTATAGTATTCACTCAAGAATAGCCTCAAACAGAAGAAAAAACTGAATTCAGAAGCTGCATAGAGTAAAAAGCAGGTATATTAAGTTAAGTGCATTTATACTATGTTAAACACTTGAGTAATTATCACTAGAAAACAAGCTTTTGTGAGATTTTGAAATTAAGAAATTCATATTCACCGAAGTATATATTGCAGGTTTTTATTACCACACATTACAGAGTTAAACATGACAATATATATAGTGTTCTGAATAGAAGACTTACAGCAGCACCAATCTTGAGATGTAAATATTGCTGAATCACTAGTATTCACTGAATCTTATGCATAATTATATCAAAGTTATTTTTGTAATTTGAATGAATAAAGACTTTAATACATTCATGATTCAATAAAGTATCCATGTGTAGAAAGAAGATCTGGAAATTTTTTTTGATATTTTTCAGACTAAGTACTTGATGATATATATATATACATATATATATATATATATATAAAGTTAGTAAAAACTCAAGTGTTTTAGAATATTTTGGTTTAGAATAAGTGCTCCTGTGACCTGTTGCCTATCCATTTTCTTCATAACCATTGGCTTTGAGTTAACTACCTCCCTGTCAAGTTTTTTTTAAATATTGATGTATTTAAAAGATACTTGACAGGGAGTGAAAGTGGTTAAAAGTGACAAGCACACACAATGCTTACAGAGCCCATCCCTGAATAGAAATCTAAGGTAACTCCTAGGTTCTTTTCACTGAGCATCTTGATTCTGTTGCTCTTTGGTATGGATATATGGATAGTTCTGGTGAAATAAATCCTTTGTTTATCCAGAAAGTGTGGCATCCATATGTGAACACCAGAATTTACATGCTCCTTTTCCTTACTTTCAGCCATTTGAAATACTCCTGGTGATGCTGATCCTCTAAATACTGATTTTTCCTGGAGTTTACTCAGAGTCTAATTAAAAAATGCTGAAGACAAAAAGATCCCCAAAGCTTCTCCTACAGTCCTACAGATAGACCTACAGTCTATCCATTACTGAACTCCTTAGAGGCAATAATATCCTATGCCAACAGAAAAAAAATAATTATTTGTCCTTTCCCTGATTTGTTTTGTTCTTTGAACTCCAGTATTCAAATAATAAAAATAAAAGATGTAAAGATCTGTGGAAAAATACTTATTTAAAGACAGAAAAAATAAAATTTTTTGATTAAATGTTTGGAACAGTTAATTGTATTAGAAAAAAATTCAGCAGCCTTTCAGGGCAGAAATATATTTGCTCTGTAATAGAAGAAATTTAGTTTCATTAGTGTATTGTGTTAGATATACTTCAATCAGTAAACTCATGCAGTTTGCACAACTAAGAATCTTTTGTGTAGTGAAATCTTCATACTCTGCAATCACTTTAAAGTAGTTAAAATGAAGTTCAGAAAAGGGAAGATTTCCCCTACTCTCACAAAAGCAAACCTGAGGTCACTGTTGTGTCAGATGGCAGAAGTAATTTATTAGTTACTGATCAAGTAACAAGCACCTTTGCAGAATCCTTACTCTGTTGATATAATTCATTTATTATATAATTGGGAGAGGTATTTGAATAGGCTTTGTCTAATTAGCACCAATAAATTCTACAGCTTTCATTTTAAAAAGCCCTAAAGAAATAAAGTTTATATTTTTGTCTAAGTCAATTTTCCCTGGCATTCCAGAACATACCACTAAGAGATATTGAGAGTGCTTTTTAGACACTTACTTTTTTTTCTGTAACAAAACCTTTCAGAAATAAAAACAGATGTAAAACCAGATATTTAGAAGTAGTTGTTTTGAGACAAATAGCATATCTATGCTGACCTACAAAACTCCTTAAACAAAAGAATTTCTGACTAGAAACGTCTAGAAACTTGTCATAAATATTACCATAAAAAAAAATTCCTGGAAATCCTTTTGTCTGCATCTGTTGATAGCAAAAAAAAAAAACCCAAAAACGGTGAGGAGGTTCTCTCACTGAGTATGTTTTTTTCTCCAGTTCTGTGATGCACTCATACTTATTGGCAACAGTCCTTTCAGGAAGGTTCTCTCCTATACAGAAAGACTGTTCAGACTTTTCAGCTGCTCACATTTTGATTTGACTTGTCACAGGCAAGAAGGAAAGATAAGTCACCAAGCATAACAGAGGCAAATATATAACCCCTGAAACAGTGTCCATCTCAGAAAGGAGAGGTGATTCTGCTCTGTCTATCCCTTGCAAGACTGAGAAATTGCTATGAGGAACCCAAGAAGGAGGTTTTGCAGCTCTGTTGCAAAACTGATCCAGTGGCTGGCTGAATAGACCAGCAAAGGGGGGATGAACTGCTGGCAGCAGGCAGGCAGATGGGAAGGATGAGAGTTCATAGGTACAGGGCATACTCACCCTACTCACTTCCAAACCAACTGTCACACACTGACTCCTGTTGAGAGGAGCTTTAATTTATTTTTTTTAGGAAGCCTATGCATGGATCCTCATTTTATGTTTGGTTTTGGGTTTGTTTGGGTTTTTTGTTTGTTTGTTTGTTTGTTTTGGTTGGTTGGTTTGGGTTTTTTGTCATTTTAAGGCTGGCAGTAAAATGTCCCAAAGCAACCTTTTGACAGGTAAAATATAAATCTACTATACTGTTACAAAATAGTTATAATGCAGCTATATTTATCTAACATAATAAATTCTGGCCAGCTGGTTTTTTTTCTATTAATTGCTGGGTTTTAAGCCTTTCTCAGAAATAAATGTGGGTTTTTAAATATTATTTTTAAAAGCCTCAAATCCCTAATAAGGACTTAGATTAATTCTTTTCCAAAGCCATAGCTGCTTTACTACAAAATATATCTCATGATTACATTGGTTTATACACACATACAAATCCTATTGATGTTCATGTATCAGTGAATATCCCCAGATAATATCCTAGGATTAAGTTTACATGTTTTTTTTAAATAAATCATCATTTGCTATAGTATTTGATTTAGAGATGTCCCATTATTTAATTACACTAAAAATTACAGCACCATCCTGCAGTTCTGGAAAAAAAAAAATAAAAATAAAAAAAAATTAGAAAAAAATTCCTTAGGAATGGGAAACAGATGCAACTCTGTGTGGGCAGACCCATTAGGTTCCGAAGCTGGCCTTGGGAGGTGGAAGGTAAATTCAAGTCTTTGCTCCTGTTAGTACTCTGTCACCGGGCAATGTCCAGCTATTTGTACCTTTGTAAGATGTACTAGTGCATCACCAAAGAAACTCCAGTACTCATGTGATGTCACTCCCATTATCACCCAAGAACATCTGTTTTTAAACAGCTGTTTACCCTCATTTTCAATCCCAGCAGTATATCCTCTTTTTGTGCCTGCAGAGTAAAACTGCAGTTCACAACCCTTCCTTTAAGAGCAAAGCAAATCAACTGACATGGTACTTTCTTTAAAAGAAAAAGTACTATTACACAGAAGTGTGATGAAAGACTTGAGACTCTGGTATAAAAATACGTATGACTAAGTGACAGATCAAAATCTTTGGGGAGATTTCAAAACCTTAACCTGAGATTAATTTTTGCAGCTGATCTCTGTACCTTGGTTAGGTGTATATGTAAACATCTCTGACAGCATATAAAACAAGCCTTGTTGATAACTAGGAAGGTTTTGTAATGCACCTAACATACTGAAATAGCATGAATGTCCATATGCTTTCAGAGGCATCCTCCATCCATTACAGCTTTCTTGAACACATATAGCTGTTTGGCTTAACCTTCTTGCAGTCAGTTGCCTGCCATTTTCCTTGCTTCTGCACAAATACACAATTTCTTCCTTTCACTGGAAAGTGGTGGGAGCTTCTTCTCCAGTTCATGTAGGTTACAGGCTCTCCTCCATTCCACTCCCAATGTCCAGGGTTGACTTGGTCATTCAAACCTGTGTCAAATCAGTAAGACCAAATCAGTGATGTTTATTGTCATTGGAGCCAGATGTCAAGAGAGTCATGTTGTTCTGTAAGTTGCTCTTCATTAAAAAATGCATACTGAGAGAAAAAGAAAACAACTGGCAGAACACAAGCAAAACACAATTTATGATTTAATTAGTCCACTTTAATCACAGTTAGTGCCATATGAATAAAGGAAAGTACACTTTTCTGCAATAGCATATATCTAAAATGTTTTTTTCTCCTTTTATCTATTATGTGTCTATCATCTCATAGGTTTCTCTTTGGATACTTGAAATAGCAAGGAGTCTGGACAGCATCAGATGCCTTCAGATTTCTTCTGAATATAAAATTCTGCAGATCTTTGTAGACTGGGTTTACACTGTTTAAATTAACAGCTGTAAAATTAGCTTGTGTTAATTAGTACAGTATAAATCATATCTTTTCCCCTAGCCTCCTCAGAGTTACTAAGATCAGTATGTGCTGCATATAATTTCATACATGACCTGTCATCTTAGGAGGGACCAAAATAAGGAAATTTGCATTAAGAATCTTGTAGTCTTTATCTTTGTCAAACAAGCTTATTTCTTTCAAGTTAGCAGAATTATGATACCATTAAACATCATCCAAAACTAACTGTGTTTTTTGAAGTTAATTTAGTTTACCTAGTGTGTCCATCTCAGAAAATTACTAACACCTGATAACTGCAGTTCAGAATCAAAGAAAAAGAGCCAAATTGAAGACAGTATAGCAGAAACAAGAAGGGTTAGATAAAAGTGGTAGCTCTAGTATATGAACTAAGGCAGTCATTCACAGAAAGGAGGTACTAAGAAGACCCATGCAAATTCTTTGCATTTTTCATTAAATGTTAAGTGCTTAATAAATCTAAAATTATATTATTAAATGTTCTTTAGCTTATCATCTAATTAATTAACAAGATTTCTTACACAAGATGACACCATTAAATTAGAAGTAACAAATAATTATTTAAGTTAAAACAAAACAAAAGAAAAAGCTAAATTATGGATAAATAAAGTAACAGTCAAAAGAAAGATGAGATAAACAAAACTGAAGGAGCTGCACCAGAACTATTTTCATAAGTTTATGCCAAAATAGGAAAGGTTTCAAAATAAAAACAGTCCAGCAATAAACATCATGATAAACTCATCTTTTTGATAAAGACTTATAAAAGTAGCCAGCTAAATTATGGCTTTTGGTTTATGCCTTGCACTGAAATAATAAAAACAGCAGAATTTGAGGACAGTACACTGTTTGAAAACTAGACTTGAACTGTTGCAGCATTTCTGCTTTTCAACACATACAGGAACTGCAGCCTGCAGAGGGGACTTGCAGCCAATATACTTACCAATCCAAAAGGGCCTCTTCCCACTGAAGTCCCACAGCCACCGCATATGTTGTTCATTAGCCACACTTGTTAGACTCCCCAGGTATCTAGGCTCAGCGAGAGAGGACAGAGTAGTTAGCATTCCACAGAGTGACAGACTGCTCCCGTCAACTTATCAACAATGGATGTTGATTCTATTATAAAGCATATAAATAACGAGTCACAGGAAAACCACAGCTTACTGGCATGAAGGAATAATTAATTACCTTAAGATGAGGTCATAAAATTGTGGATTACATGGGGAGGAACCAAAATCCTAGTCTTATTTTTCTAACAGAAAAAATAAATCAGCTGGGCAACTGAAAGAAATGTGTACAGAAAATATGTGCCTCATACTCATAAACCGTGTTTTAAACTATTGGTACAATTCTTTATACCTTATTTTCCATGCAATAATAAACTTCCTACACTGAAGTCCAAGCCACTGAAAGATACAACTTCACCTATTTGGTAGCAGAGCAGGAGATATCTTTTTAAAATCATACTTGGACAATACTGAAGCTTTGGGTAATACATTTAAGTGGTAATGTGGTTTTGAGAAGCAATCATAGAATCACAAAATCATAGAATGCCCTGAGGAGGAAAAGATGCACAAAGATCATCAAACTAACTATTGGCCCTGCACAGGGCAGCCCCAAGAATCACAAAATGATTCTTAGAGCATTGTCCAAATGCTTCTTGAACTCTATCAGGTTGGTGCTGTGACCATTTCCCTGGGGAGGCTGTTCCAGTGCCTGAGCACCATCTGATCTAAATCTCCCCTGTCACACACATTCCCTAAAATCAACACTCAGGCTGTTACATCAATCACCCCCTCCACCACCCCCCATTTCCTTCCTCTCCTTCTATCCCAGCCCTTTCTTTGTTTGCATTTTCATCCTCTTCAAAATTTTGGGTTTCAGCTGAGACGTTCTGGTTCTCCATCCTGTGAACCTGTGCACAGTAAATGCAGGTATCCCATGGGTTCCCCCTGTTGTTCATCACAAGAAATTTGGTATCTGAAAAGACTAAAAAAGCAGTGCATTTTTCAGAGGGCTGTCTGCAGTGACTACACATTTAGTTCAGATTGGAGAGAAGCTGTGGTATGTATTAAGCAGACTATTTGTGAACTAAGTCAACGCATAAGCTCTGCTCTGTGTGTGTACTTACAGTGTGCCTGTTCCAAAGGAGAGTTTACAAACCCTAGCCACTGAGTGGCCTTGCCACTGACAAGTCTTCCAACCAAACATACAAGCACCAGCTACTCTTAAGGCTACTCTTAAGTCATGTAGAGATCAGGCTAAATCTTTAGGCATTAAGGGACAAATGTCATTCTTCACATTTGCTGGGGACTGTCAGCCATCAGTGGCTCCACTTTCTTATTTATCCATCTTGGTGTCTGCGTTGATATCATATCACCTTTTTACATGTCACAGCTGGTGTTGCCATCCCTCTGATGCTGAGCCTCTGGTGCTGACATTTCTTTTGTCCTGTATTTCTGATTGCTGCTCAGTCTAAAAGTTATGCCATCCCCTTCAGCCTCCCAGAATATCCTGGGTGACAGTTGATAGGGCCAGAGCAAAAAACACTGCTCATAAAAACATTTTAAGAGAGCAAAAAGTGTTTCTAACATCAGAATAATTAAATGGTACTGTAAGGATTTCGTTCATTTTATTACTTTTGCTAGATAACAGAGACAAAAGATCACTATTGCCCCAGATGAAGTAATGACTGTGCTTTAAGACCTGGGGCAACAACCAGGCCTGAAGAATGGCATAGCTGACTTGAGCTAAGTATGGAGACCATGAACAGATATTAGAGTGAAAGCCCATTAAGCCTGCTGCCCAGTTAGAGATCCATGCCTGGAGCTCCATTCCTTTTGCTGCCCTGTATGTCTTCTAAGAGTACTGATCCCATGGATTCCATATGATGCCACTCAAGATAGGGGAGCAGGAAAGATATAAATGAGGAGAAGTTCAAAGCAGCAATCCACAGTATTCTGCACAGTCCTTACTGCATGAAATCTGGACTGTTTCTTAATCTAGGCCCACAAGGTTAGGATATGAAATAAATTCATTGTGTTTCTGAAGGGGGATGCTCCTGCTGCAAAGTCCTCCTCCATTATCCCTGCAGGCCAACCAAAGCAGCAGGGGTTGGAGTTTCCCTCTGCTCCATGCTCATGGTGGATCTGCCAAGGCCAGCAGGACAGCCAGGGGTTAGCCCTCACCCTGCAATCATAGCTGCGCTGGGGCAAGCACTGTGCAGTAATGTGGGGCTCATCAGGGGCTCTCTGAGCTCCCGGGCCAACAGAGCCCACATGCATGTAAGATCACACTGACATACAGAGGTACACTCTCCTCACCTAGAGGTGTGGCAGAACAGCCTCAGCACTGTCTGGTAGGGGTCAGGATTGTGCACCCACTGTGGTAGAGACCCCCAAATCTGCACCCTGTGAAGGTGTTAGCAGGGCTTCTGCTGTGCCTCTCATCACGGTGAGACATGCCTGTATGCCCCAAGGGTGACAGGCTTCCACCCTTCTGGGCAGATCTGCCAGGCACAGACTCTCCAGTAAGCTAGGAGCAAAGCTGTTACACTGACAAACACTGCCTGGAAGTTTTGTACTCCACCACCTTCTACAGACAGGGAAAAGCAAGCATAGTTAATTCAGGATGTTCTCCCAGGCTAACTGCTTCAGCAGCAGCCTTCCATTCTGCCTCACAGTGACTGTGATTGCAGTCAGGTCCAATGGACCTGAGAAGAGGTTTGTGCAGCAGTTTCTGTGGCATCACTACCAGGTGAGCAAGAACAAAAATGGAGCATTTTATCTGGCTTCTGTTTAAGGACACTCAAAACCCAGGAACTAAGTAATTTACTTTAGGTGAGCATATCTTACTTCTGATTGTCCTAGAAAATGTGAAACCAAAAAGCATCAGTGTGTGTCAGCAAATGCTCTATCATTTTTGACATACAGGTATAGTCTGAGTAATAACAGTTTCGGACTTCAATCCATGTACCAGGGAGAAACTTCATCACTGTGAAAGGAAAGCACTGCAAAAATTATTTTGTAGTTTAATGTTTTCTCTGTAGGAGTGCTTTCTAACTACAGCTCAAGAAACACAGTACTGAAGAGAGAACAACTGTTCTAATTGTTACACCTAGTTAAGCGGGATTATGTATTTCAGGGAAATGAGAAGCATCCTGAAAGAACACAGCACTTCCATAGTGCTACTCACTGAACCTCAAGGCATAGCATCAGACACCGGAAATTACAAGATAAGGTTATTTATGGAGCTGTGTGCTTCTAACACTTCCTAATGTAAATTAGTCAAGATAAGAGGTTATAATTCCTTATTAGGGAAAGAAACAAAAAAAAAAAACCAAAACCAGACAAACAGTAACCAAAAGAAGCTACAATAAACCCACACACATCACTTTTTTTCTGGGCTAAACGAGCCATTTAAAATTGTTCCTGCATACTTTATGATTTTTCTTATTTAGTCAAGAGCATACTTTATCTTAGAGCAGTTGCACAAATTAAGGAAACAATTTGGGTAGCTTTTGACCTTGAAGTATTATATGGAAAGTACTTAGCACACAGACTTTACTGATTTTCCATTAAATTGTGTGATACCTTTCAGAGTCTTGTACCATTTTGGTAAATTTAAGATTGGCAAAAACAACTTGACTAAGTATAAAGGTGTCCATGGGATTTTATTTGAACTGCTGTAGTAAATCATCTGTCCTATACTGATGCTGAAGGGGGTGATGGGGGTGGTGACTGAAAGACTGTGCCTATATCAGCCTTTTGTTTGGTCACCTAAGGAGCTATGTGATACCTTGAAATAGGTTTCTAGTATATCAACACCTCGTGTAATTCAGAACATTCAGATGAGAGTGGCAGACATGATGCAGTGCTTGCAGGAGCCCTGCACTTCCAGACTAGCAGCTGAAAGTCAGACAATGTAAACAAGGCCTTTAAAATGACTCTAGGTACCGGGATTCTCTGCTAGAGTAACACACAATGAGTTAAACCATATTTGTTAGCAAACCAGTACTGGGAGAAGAGGGCTGCTGTCCTGCTTTGCACCAGGGAACACTGAACCATTATGAAGAATGTAATATATTACTTTAGATGTGGTTCTGCCTGTGATTCCCAAGGACTGAGGCCACATGTAACTGATATAGAACCATCAAACAAAATAACATGTCCTGCCTTACACAGCTAGCAGTAAACGACCTGAAATCTAATCATATTTTAGCTTAAATTAAATATTCAACTTCAAAAAAGATAAAGGTATAATATGACTAACAAGGCAAAAGACACAACTGTGGCTTCTATATATCCAGTTCTTCCATCCCTTCAGTGGCAGAAATGAAACCATCTCACATACGAGTGAGCCCTGCTGTACTGACCCTTGGGGAGGACATGTTCCTGTTGGATAAACAAGAGCTGTGGCATAAATCATCAAAATTGCTTCTAAATCAGGCTGCTGTGGGATCACTCAGCCGTAATATCCCCCAGATGCTTCTCTTCACGTTGCCAAGAGCCTCTTCATGCATAAAAACAAAGCTAGAAAAATGAGTTCTTAAACCACCTTTCTCTCCAATGAATTGGAGAAGGGTTAGAAGTAGTGCAAGATTTTCACAGCAATTAACTGAGATTTCCCTGTCCGCCTCCCCCATCTCCAGTTTAACACTGACATACAGAAACTTGCACCAAGACAAGCACATATTTTTGTCTGCTTCTACCCCTGTACATGGGAACTGAAGAAAAGTGTTGTATTCCACCTCTAACAGATGGATACAATGTATGTCAACAGGAACTCCAATAGGCTTGCATTAGCCCGTGCATATGTAGTTACATCCAGACAACAACTGCTTCCACAATAAATTGGTAGCATGACTTCGATGGAATAGAATCACAGACTATCAGGCTGGAAGGAACTTCAAGGATCATCTGATTCCAACCTTTCTTGGCAAAAGGACAGTCCACATGAGATGGACCAGCAATCTGACTAGGTGAACCTTAAAAACATCTGATGTTGGGGAATCTCCCTGGGGAGAGTCTTCTAAGGGCTGATCTCACAGTGAAAAAAAATATCCTTGTATGTAATTGGAATCTTCCCAGGAGTAACTTGTTCCCATGGCTATTCATCTTTTCTATGTGACTCCTTGTAAAAAGAGAGTCACCATCTTCTGCTTTGCTACCCTCTAAATACTGAAATTTGGTGATAAGGGTTCCCCTATGCCTTCTTTCTTCACATGGCAGGCTTTGCTGTCCTTTGATCATCTTTGTAGCCCTTCTTCAGACACTTTTCAGCCTGCCTACTGCTGTATAGTTTTTGTATAGCCAACTCCCAAGTCCATCACGTCAGGATTGCAAGGTTGTCTCAAAAAGGGACAAAACTTGCAGACTGTTAGTGAATCAACTTGCACAATGCTTGGGGTCTTTTCCCTCTTCTGTATAACAGAAAAATTCTAGCAAGACAAATGAACAGGGGCTTAAAATTATGCCATTTTTGTAGTTATAAATTATTATTCTTTTTTTCATGGAAGTTGGCTGGTTTACTGAAAGTCAATTCAAATATTTTCATTTAATATCTAGTTTGTTGATCTATTGACAATTGAGGACCTACCTCCATGGTATTTTTATTTCCCTGTTGTAAACATTTAAACATCAATAGAATCAGTATTAATAACTGAAACACTGCAGTTATTGGTGGTGATGATTGCTGGAGGAGCTGGGGAAAAGCACAAGATAAAATGTAATAAGTTACGTTCTTGTACCACATTTAAGCGTGTTCCTGGAGCTGTACTTTTGTAAATCAGTTCCAGATGGAGGCAAGGAGTACTCCATTTACTGCAATAAATCTTCCTTAGTCCATGCTAGTATGACATTAATTGAATTAGGACTCATTCCTTGTGGATTCAGTGATACGCCTTGATTTTTAACACTGTCATTTAGCTACTGTTGTTTACATTTATTTGCTTTTATTCAGGTTAATACCTATATTGCACACTATAGCCTTCATCGAGAAGCTACCACTTACAAAAAATATGGGTCACAAAGATCACACTTTTTAGAAGATAGGAAACACTTCCTGGTTGAGTGACATATGGTTCCAAGAGATCAATTCAGTGTTAAAGCCTTCAGAAAAAAAAATAAAATATTCACAATTCATAGCTTTGTTTGCTAATAATAGCATAATAAAAGCAGATAATAAGTTCAGCATGATAATAAAAAAAAAGCATGATAATAAGTTCAGGAGCTGAAATTGTAAGTAAACCAAGTGATAACATAATATTTGGGGTGAACTCACAGGATCACATAACATTTACATTTTAGCAAAGACTATCTTCCATCAGTTGGGAGCTAGTAGTATCAAGACTTTTCTTTTGCATGTTACCAAGACAACATAATCTGGCATAACTGAGTGGAATGAATCAATGCTTGTTATGCATGCTTGCCCATGATTCAGCATGTCCTTCCACTACTTACGGAACATACTCTGTTTCTATAATTTCCAGCTCTTCCCTGCTTCAATTTTCCTTTGTTGTAATGGAGAGGTCTGGAGTAATGTAGAGGTTTGTTTGAGCCCTTCCCATTTTTCAGATTGGTTTTCAACCTGGTGCTCACAATTCCAGACAAGGTACAGAGTATGGCTATCCTTGGACAAGCTTCATGTTACCATTGCTAGCATTTTTTTCCAGGGCTAACCTAATACCCCTACAGCCAAAATCTCAAAGCAAGTGACCAGAAAACAAGACTGGCAGGTTTTTTATCTCATACTTTGAGACAACTGGTTTTTTTATTATTGTTGTTATTGTTGTTATATATAAATAAATTTGGCCTCAAGAGCAGCATTGAGCTCTGGGCAACAGCAGTGCACAGCAAATGCATGATGGTCTCTTACTGTTCTCTGCAAGCCTGAGCAGCAGTGTTCCAGGTGACCCTGTGATTCAGCACCAGGAAGTAGCAGCTGCCCTCATGATAAGTCCATCCAGAGGGACATTTCTTCATAGCTACCTCCTAAAATAAAAGAGGAAGAGGTAGAAGAGACTTCTTTCTGTGCACAGATAGTCTGTGCAATAGTTCGTGCAAACCAAGCATGAACTTTGGTGTCTATAAATAAAGCTACAGTATTGCTTAACAGAGTTAAATAAATAATGCCTGACAGAGGATCCTAAGATTTATAATTAGTAGCTCTAATGGTGATAGTAGTATTCAGGTCAAAAAATCCTCTAAACATTTTATATTAGTTTGGACACCATTTTCTGTCTCCTGTAATCTGTACTGAGAAAGCAGTGTGACAAAATTCAGTATGATATCTTAAATGGTGGGGGGGAATGTATGTTTACAGAAAACCTAAGAAAGCTTATTTTACTCAATTCCGCCTGTTCTCCCCACAGACTTTGTTCACTGACTGTGTTATGCCCACATTGTCACAGGCCCCAAGTCACTAGTACTCGTGTGGTTTGTCACAGGAGCACTCTGGATGACAGGGAGGAAAGACAATGGCATCATTGAAGTCCTTATCATATTCCTGGGAAACTTTTGTTTCTGCTGGAAGCAAAACTAAACCTGGATAACATTTATTCCCTGTTTGAGTAAATAATAGTTACAGGAAGGTCGTCTGCTTTAGGGTATCACCAGTCCTAAATTTCATGCTCTGATATAGACATCTATACATGGCTACTTTTTTATCTTGCTTTGGAAATTCCAGAATTTCCATGTTATCCCATCACTGAAATAACTTCTTTGTGCTTTCTTCATAATGCAAGAGACCCTTTATATCTGGTGTACAAGCCTTTTGAAAAGAGTATAAGCGCTGGAATGAGAAAATGTCATTTGAACATTTGAAGGAAACTAATTACACAGAACAAGTGAAATGAAACAGATTAATTAGGTCTTATATTAGAATTTTATGCCGTGAAAACTCTTCTAGATGTTAAATAATTTTGGAAAACAGCACGACTGAAAACAGATGGTGAAAATGCTCATGGATAAAAAGGTTTCATACCTTATGTCTTGATCTTGGTTGAACTGCAAGTTCTGCCTTATCAGCCTGTGGGATTTCTGTTTTCCTGAAGGAGATGACATTTATCTGTGGTTGTGCCTTCTTGTTGGTTTCAGCGAAGGAGGTGTCTTCCTCTGTTTTGAGTGATACAATCCCATGATACTTCATTTTACAGTATCACACACACAAGAAAAGGAGAGGAAAAGAGAGGGTTAGTACATACAAGCAGCTCTTAAATAAACTAATAAACAAATAATAAAAATCAATTATTATAAAAATTATTGTAAATCAAGGGAAATTACACCAAAATAAAATAAAGATACATAGAAAAATTAAGTATTGGACATAACAAATTATTAAGAGCTATAAAGCCTGGAAAGAGCAGAATCAGAAAAAAATAATGGAAATGTCCAACCAATACCCATAATACTCTTACTTTGAAAACCACATCTGTTTCATTTCTAAATACAGATGAAGGCTGAACCTGAAAAATATAGAACAGCAGAATGAGATGGGTATATTCATGCATCATAGAAACAAGAAGACTTTATGCAATATTTACTACTAGGTTATACATCATGCAGAGCATGTCTTGGGTTTAGTTCTTTCTCTTTTACTATAAAAACATAATTTCTGAAAGGAGCTATTAAAAAGCACAAAGTGTACCATCCAGTGTATAACATTTAATGTTCATAAAAACAGATTCCAGTAACTTTTAAGGTCACAATAGCAAAAAGTTACTAAATACCTAACTAAATCAATATAGCTTAAGCAGGAGAATCAGTGGGCAAGGTTTAAATACATATTCCTTGTTTAAGCTAACAGTATTTTCAGCTTTATAACTTCAGTACCAGATGAACAGTTTCTATACATTTGCCTGGCTCCAACATCTAACTTACCCATAGCTTTTATAAGATCAGAAGTTTCATAATTGCTGAAGTTGCTTCATGCCTGTTTCCACCCCCAAGTCTTGATTTTATTCCTCTCTTGAATAAATGGATCCTCAAAATCAGCTTGGTTTGTTTTTGGCTTTTTCTTACAGTTTTTTTTAAATAGCCCCCAGGTCTGACTCACAGCAAACTCATGTAGTTACTATGTGGTCAGATAGAATTGCTACAAAAATGGCAGTTAAATGAAGATATCACATCACAATAAACTCACTTATCAGTCCATCACTGAACTAGAGAAGTTTCTTACTATTCTGCCATTTCCAGTTACTCTCAGCCTGGTCCTTGACCGATTCGCCAGGCTGCGCTCCTGCTGCAGGTCCCCTCCGTGCTCTCTCATCCCTTTGGAGGGAGGCAGTGGGATCCCTTCCAAGGAAACATTGCCAGGCCTGGAAGGTGATGAGGAGCCCAAGGAAACTGGGAACAGTGTGCCTCTCCCCCAGAAGTCATGCTTGCTTTGGCCAGAAGAGCGGGAATAGCTGCATTGACCTGAAAGCATAAAAAATGGCAGATGGTCTGTTCTAACTGCATGAGCAGAAAACTGGTTGTGTTGACATGGGCACATAAACAGCTTGTCCTTGAAAGCTGGATGATTCTTTCATTTGAAGTAGTTGATTTGCTGTTTGTTCAGTCACCCTCGTTTCTGGGGTTATCTTTAACTATAACTGCAATTAGTACCTATATAAGATTTTATATGTGATGCATCTGTCTACCCACAGGTCAGAATTTCAACCAAGCATCTCCTGAAAATATCTGTTTTTATGCTTATATTGGGCTTTGAAGTGCTGGGGGTTTTGGTCATGAATATACAGGTATCTTTAACTACCACAGATGGTACTTCTTGCCCAGAGAAGATTCTTCTTGTATATCCAGGACACTGTTGGTTCAATGAGATCATTGCATCAATTAAGTCCTGATTTACACTAGGAATGCTTAGGAGAGAACAAATCTGAAATTTTAAAAGGACTTTTTTTAACATGAAGCCTAATTCATTGCAACATGGATATTTTAAATGTTGTTTCACTAAACACCAGAAGAAAAAACACTATTCAGAGGCCAGAGGATGCAGCTGCTTTTCTAGTTATTTCTACAGTTTTCTTATGTTTCTGTTTCTACATTGCCTCCTTTTTGATCTGATTTTAGGCACACCACATTTCATCACTGAAAAACACAACACTTCAAAGACTAAACTCTTTGCTGTGAAGTTTTAGACTGCAGTTTTTAAGCATTGGAAAATATATTGCTAAGACATGGGTTAATTTGTTATGTTCCTTTTTTGAGAGGGCAGTAAATCTCTTTTAGAGGTTGTGTAACAACTAAATTATAGCTGGAAAAAAATTCTCATGGATCTAAAACCAATTTTTCCCACTTTAATAAATGAGAACTGAACTCATGTTATGAAAAGTAATTTCTTTCCTGGCACTTCTCTCATTTTGTACTTGTTGCTTCCTCCATGCTAAAGAAATGTTTCCTAAACATAAAATGTTTCCTAAGAGGATGCATATGATTTTGTGAGTGAATAAAGAGCCTGCAATTGTTGAGCCGTTTTTTTCTAAAAAGATATTTGGCAGTTTGATCTAATGATGAGTGTTAGGAACAACTTGTGGTTGAAAATAGGTAGCTACTCAGGCAAGATTGTCCCACCTTCTCAGTCATGAAGATCAAAACAGAATACCTCCTTTTGAGTCCAAAATTTTCACTACAGCTTTTGTCCGTGTGCCAAGAACAGCATTCACAGGGGAGTTCAGAACTACTTCAAAGACTTCATCATCTTCTTCTAATCCGTCATAGGTAATTGCTACATTCCACATCTTGGTTGACACTCCTAACAGAAATAAACATTTTAATTACTCTTTAAGTGCTATTTCAATCAGTCAGGGTGTCAAAGAAATAGATTAATTAACATGTCTGCAGCTAGAATGGAGTAGATTGTGTATGCTATTGTGCTCCTACTGACTGACTGGGCTCCTGCTGTTCTTCCAAATAACATTTAGTTTGAATTTGTTCCTGGGTAATGATGATTCCGTTGAAGTGCACACACTGTAACAAAAAGCTGCTGTAGATGTGCAAAATTGCACTGCAATGCGTAGACTTAGAACTTCCACTGTGATTTTCAAGAGAAAATGTATCATAGGGTTTTTATCTGAAAATCTTAACTTTAAAGATGGAAGAGTTATTTAAAATACCTACAAATGGACCAAAACCTATGTCAGATTGAAGTTCAACCTTCTAGGCAAATCTTAGCATTGTTTTTTCTTGTTTCCTTGTCTTTACTGGGTACCCTCAGGCTTGTATGTGAATGAAAAAGGGCCTTGGACATCTTGAATAACCTAACTTGTTCTCAGTTTTATCTAAAATTGACTTGTGTCCTGAGCTTTACCTATAATGACTGAAGTCTTTAAAGCATGCCACAGCTCAGCTCAGGGTGAATCCTATCCAGTGTAGTTGCTGGGAGATTAGGAAATATTATTTCAGCACTTTTGATATTTTAACTGATATAAAAGACTGTAGGCAATCTCATGCTAAGTAAGAAGGATATAAATTCACTAAAGAAGCCCACAGTGCTTCCAAAAAATGAAACCAAGTCTTAAATAGTATTCAGATTCTCTAGCTATAGATATTTAAAAGATTGCACTCTCCATTGCGAGAGTTTACTGTTCCAGAATCAGTGAATTAATTTTAGAGTTATTCAGTGCACTATTTCATACCTGGATCAAACTGAACAAGCTTGGAGGAAGTCACAGTGAAGTCCTTTCCCAGCCTAGCAGATATTTCATTGACCTGAAAAGAAATCAAACAGTAAATGCCATGCTGTGACCCATTTCACTCCTTCTGCTGCGTGCTGAAGGTACTTTGCACATCTCAAACAGACAGGCCAACCCATACATATACTCAGGCTGGGAAAAAAGATAAGGACCTGAAGAATAAACCACCTTTATGTGCAAGTCTCATTCTGTCCTTGCTCATGGCTTAGAAAATGCTTCATAAAAAAAAAAAAAAAATTAACAAAAAATCCCTATCTTACAATTTTACTCATTCCCCTCTCAGACTTGACAGCTCCAGGTAACCCTGCTGCTCACCATGCCTGGGTACCCTGCCACACCTGGCTCCTAGACCAGCACGTCCTGTCATCTCACAAGAGCAGCAGCAACCTGGCCATGTTTTCCTATTTGGCCCTTTGTGATACCTTGAAAGAAGGTTTTTCACACAGAGCCTTCTGTCATCCCGAAAGACTCATTAGGATAGATGTGAGCCCTGCATGTGTAAATATAGGGATTCCAGCAACTCCCTGAATTTTCAGAGGAAGCACCAGGGGACACCAGTTTCCACACTGTGTATGTGTTCCAGCTCTTGATGCTGGAATCAACAGTACTGCAAGTGAATTTTCTGCAAGTGACTGCTAGAGTAGAATCACCAGAGTCTGTGAAGGGTAGGACAGGATGGCCCCTGATGGCATCATTAGCAGAATACCCACTAACTTCAGTAGAAAAAAAACCAAAATTATGTTTCTAATTAGTGCTATAACCCTGAGAAACCATCAGGGTGGAAAATGGTATTTCTCTAGCTAGGGGAGCCGATAAAATACTGGAATTTCCATTTCATGAGGAAATACAAAATTTGTGAAGGCAAGTTGCACAAAACCTCTTTTACAAAATTATAGCCTGCAGCTTTCAGTCTAGTCTTTTTGACATAAGACATAGGCAGTCGTTGAAGATACAGGGCGTTTTCCTAGGCTATGGGCAGTAGGAGGAGAAATGGAGAAGGCTGCCATGGCTGTGTGGTTGAAGACCCTATACCTCCTGGGCTCTTCCAGCCTGAGAAGGCAAAACAAAAGCCCCAAGACCCCAGATTGCCCAAAGCCTGGATTTTAAAGTGGCAGACCCTGGAAACCAAGCTTCTGAACACAGTGCCAGAGGAAACTGCCTGCTCTGTTTTTTCATCAATACTGAAATGCTGCTCCAAAACATTCCAGGTTTGGTTAATTAGTGTTTCTACTCAAAACTCAAGAAATTTTGTCAGAAATGTTTCAGCCATCTGTAGTAGCAAGGACAGTGTCCCAGCAAGTATGAATTGAATCACATGGACTCTTTGATGATTACTGAATTATCTTTATGTCTGAGGAATAAAACAACAGTCTGCACTTATTATTAATTGAGGTTGTTAGCTTTTGGCTTTACCTTCACGGTTATAAAGGCAGACTCCCCCGAGTGTCCTGCCCTGGTGATTTTCAGAGACATCACTCCCATGTTTTCACACACCTCATATTCAGTCTGCAGCATTTCAATTCGAGACCACCGCAGCTCCAGCCTGTGGGAGAGAAAGGAATGTGCATGTAGAGCAAAGCCACCTGGCCAGCCACCCCCCAGCCCCTGCTGCTCAGAGGCTGTGTGAGGAGCCCTCTCTCCCGACTGCTGATTTAGCCAATACACATACTGAGTCTTTGTCTCCAAATCAACACATTTGTGTGATTTAACTGATTAGGAAAAGGCAGTAATAAACCTTCCAGACCAGCCCTGATATACCCTAAACCACACTTGAGTCTTGTTTCACAGCCAGGGGAATTCTGCAGCAACTTTAAGAAGAGCAGTTTGTCCATAACAATAGGCCAAGACAAGTTATCACTGTTTATCCTGGTTCCCTTTAGCCTTGGAGTTTTATCATACTCTCGCTTCCCAGTCTTTTCTCAGCAATATCCTCCTTTCTACCCATCTATCTTCATCTATTCCCTAACTCTCCTCCTGCAGCATACGGAGTATGCCCTGGGAATTTCTGTCTCTGTACAAGGGCCTTCTCTCCTCCCCTTACTTTAGTCTCTGCATACTTCACTCTTCAACCATTCCCCTATCTGATTCCAGGTGTCTTATGCACTGAATTTCAGAATTGTTTATGGAGGATGAGGGCAGTGTCTGAACTTCAGAAGATTGTGTGCCGCACAGGACAGTCAAAGATCTTTCCTTTTTTAAAGCTGTTATAAAAATTAGTGGGAGTCAGAAAGGGGTGAATGAGAGTGCAAAGAAGCAAAATAAGCTGAGCTGTTTGAATTTTACTCAACAAACTTCTAGGCTTTTCACACGTGACTAGTTCTGTCAGCAGTGGAAATTTCCTCCTGTCCCCCTCTATCCTCTGATGCTAATTTTGTGGGAAACACATTTAGAAGCTGTGTTGCTTTATTTTTGCTAAAGAAGATAGATGTGCCAGATGTAGTCCAGCAGCATTCAAATAAAAGATGGGACATGAACAATAAATTGTGTATTTTGAAACAGTGATCAGTAGGTGATAAATACTTTAAACTGAAAAAAATATCTCACAAGCTTTTAAATCCAGTATTAAAATAATGTTTTGTCACTAAAATTCCCATTTGTTCTTCTAGCTGATAACTTCACTTTAACACCTATTTTCTGCAAAAAGAGCTTTCTCTTTGCTCTTTTCCTAAAGCTGTGCTATGCATTGCCATTAATTTACAAGGAGTTGCACTTTCCCATGAGAAGTGGCATCACATAATGGTGGTTTTAATGTTGGCTCATCCGCAAGCCAGCACAGAGCAGCTGGGCTGTCCATGCTCAGATGTGTTTGTGTATAGGGACATCTCTTGGCACAGCACATAAATGCTGCCTCCAGCTCAGCTCAGTCCTTGTCCTCTCTCCAGCGTGAAGGGAAACGCTCTGCCCCTAGGTACAGCTCTCTGCTCCTCTTTCTTTACCATGAGCCCTGGTTTGTGAGTAGCAAGTTTAGCCCAGAAAAACTACATTGTTGTTGGTTTTTTCCCCCAATTTCTTCTGATTAAATAAGTTTTTTGCACATGTAGCCCTATTTTCAGAAATAAAGAGAAGCACTGCCTCTACTGAGGAGCTACTCTCACTTACGGCTTTTATCACCAAAGCACAGTTTGGATGATATTTTAATTTTTCTACATGAAGCTTATCATATGTACATACAAGGAGGTGGTGGGAAGTATGCTTAATACATGCAGCAGATGACAAAGAAGATGCTGTGTGATTTCCACCTTCTCTGAGTGCTCTTTTGCAGAAATATGGCGCTCACAGCTTTGTCATTTGAGAGCATCCCTTCCATTGTAGTCTCAAGCTTGCAAAAAATGTATTGCCATCAGCTAAGGGCAAGAGTGACCTGCAGCTGCAGGACCATGTTCATGAAGCAGTAGTCCCATCCTTCAGCACACAGCATCTCAGCTCTCCAAATGTCCAACTTCCACTAAACGCAGTATGTTTCCCGGGGAGGCCCTGAAGGCCCTTGAGAACTGTGACACAGGCTAACCTGGAGCTCACCCCTCGTATGTCACCTTCTTGAGGGGTGTATTTCACCTCTACTACCCCAACAAAAGCAATGTCAGGTTGCATTGCCCATGTCTGCATGGTTTCCAGCCCAGCACCTGTTCATCTGCCCCAGGGGGCAGCGAGCACAGTGCAGCACAGCCCGTATCACCAAGGAGTGGAGCTACCTTTGGGGTGCTGCAGAGTTTCCACTGGTGTCTGTCACTTGAAACTCCAAGTTGTCTGAATTCACTTCTTGTGATTGGTTGATGACATAAAGTATGATTTTGCTGTTTAAATCCTTTTGGCTAAATCCTTCCTGAATGAATCCACCTAGGAAAGATGAGTAATATGCAGGTAACCAAAAGCCTGATAATAAGAACCACATTGTTAATATTGACTCTTTTCAACTTTTCTTTTTGTCAAGAATCTGAACTTAGAGAAATGCAAGTTTATAGCTAAACAGCAACATCTGTTCATTATGAGCCCCCACAAATTTCTTCATGTGTAACCTGTTTATCAAAAGGCCAAATTCAATAATAATCTTTTTTTTCCTTGATAGAAATAAAAACATTTCTCAACAGCAGCTATTAAAAATTATCTCAAACTGTTTGAGGACTTACAACAAACTTAAGACTCAGGTTTCATTGCAAAAATTTTGTTACTACAGTCAAACTTTGCCCAAAGTTTGCTAAGAAATTTTGATTCTCTCTGTCAAGCAAACATTAACAGGATAGGACTTGAAATTTGGTCTGGTATGGCCCAAAACAGAGATTGTAAAAGAAACCACCTGTTGTTATATTTTCCAGGTAGCCATAATGAGGACCTCGCAAAATCTTAAAAATTATTTTGTCATCTTCTGTATTGGGGTCAGATGCCCTCAGGGACTTGGCAGTAATAAAGATCCCATAATTGCCGTTCTTCAGCAGTTCCACATCAGAAAAGCAATGGAGATGAATGATTTTTGGTGCCATTTTGTCCAAATGATCCACCTAAATCAAAGTTAGAGATTAATTTTACAACATCAGGATATTCTCTGTCCTGCTTCTGCTAAAATCTTGAAACTTGGTCTTCAGGAAATATTAACAGCCTCTTCATTAGTATCAGGGTTTTGAAACACAGAATTTTGACATGCAGTGCAACCAGGCATACTTTGCTTACTGAAACATGCCACATAGATACATACAAAAAATCACAGTAAACATATATGAGCCTATGATGAAGTATGAAGGACTTGAAAACAGGGGAAATTGGAAGTGAACAGAAAGATTTTAGCAAAGAAAGAAGAGTAGGAGCAGGTATCTTACAGAAACTCTCGGAGAGAAGACAGGATATCTAGGTGGGGAAGCAAAATGGCTGTAATTCAAGATTCCTGTGACATGAAGATCAGCAGTCATACTCACACCCCCATGTGTGCAAATCACAGGGTCAGGCACCAAGTGGGAAAGCAGAGCAGGAGAAAGTTCTATCCTTCCCACAGTTGAGATTCCTATTTAAAATTTTTAGCATGCAAGTATTAAGTATATAAGTATGTACTTGCTTATCTTTATGCATTTTTGCAAGTAGTTAATTCCCCAGGTTAATTATTCATGGAGCACAGAAAGCAAATATTTTAGCTGCACAGTTAAATCAGAGACTGCATCAAGTACTAGCCATAAAACTGGTACATTTTTGACCTTATCATGCTATTTATCTCTCTTAAGTAGGCCTGTGGTCACACTTGCCTGAATGGTGAATGCCACTGGCTTGCTCTGCACCCTCCCATTCACGATGAAGCCTTGGTTAGTCCTATCTGTGGCAACAAATGTAAATCTGTCAATCTGGGAATTCCCACCTCGGTGCTTGTATGCCACATCCCTGTTGTCCACATCTTGCTGTGTGAAATTGTACTGCAGTAGCACATCCCCATGATAATAGAGATGCCCATACTGGGGGAGCTGAGCCAAGACAAAGGTAAGGTTTTCTTTCGCAGTATCTGGGTCTGAAAGCTGCAGGACATCAGAAGTAAGAAGTGCCATAGATCCTTCTGTTAATCTTAACCCCATGTTCCTAGAAAGAGTGGGCAAAGCCTGGTCAGCTGCCTCCAAGGCGATCTTGAATGTCCCATGCTTAGTCCTCAGTCCATTGCTGATGATGAATCTGGCAAAGAGAGGCAAGGCAGTCTTCAGCATCTGTTCTTGATTCACCATGTACTGAAATGAAATGATAATGCAGACCTTTACTACAGGACTTGCCTGTGTTGATACTGCAAAAGTGAAAGAGCTGGGTGGAGCACAAACCCAGACACTGAGTAGAGTGGATGTAAAACTTAAAAAGGTGAGAGCAGACAGCCAGGTATGTGACAGGAGTTACAATGCCCTGGCAGGGATTGAGCAGATGCCAGAGGAAAGGCCTTGAAGATCAGCGGTCATAACAGAGCTGATCTAGTCTTCTAGCTGAGATACAGGTGGAGAAAATCTAAAAGGAAAGGCTGCCTGGGGGCCTTATTGTAGCTTCTGGCATATATATTTTACATATCATTACATATCAAATTCTCTTCACTTTACCTGGCAGTAGCACCTACAGCTTACAGAAAGAGGTATGAGAAGTGCATGACCTGCCTGGTTTGGTTGGAGATTCTTTCTGTTCAGTGTTACAGATCTTTTCTACCCAATGCCCCCAAAATCATCTGAAAAACAAACTGGATTAAGATTCAGCCTTTTCCCACATCATGGGTTTGTTAGGCACTACCTATATCTTTAAATTTTCATATATTCAGAGGGGCTGGTTTATGTTTCTTTAAAAAAGTGAAGTAAAGTTTCACTGAAATACTAAGATATTGGACAGAACTGTGCAAATTGCATAGAGTGATGTTAAAAACATAGATATCCATCACATAAATTTATCAATGGTCATATCTGCACAGCTCTTCTTCCATGCTGGTAATTTCTATCAACAGCCACATCGTTTCTTGTAGTTCTCACTCAAGTAGTGATGTTTCTTTAAGTGCAAAGATTTGTTTATTCACTACAGATAGTTCTCCTTTCAAAACTAAGAGAAAGGTTCCCAAGGCTGTAGAAAAAATCTGTTGGAAGCTCTGCTGTTATTGACTGGGGTAGAGTTCATTTTCTTCATAGTCACTTGTATGGGGCTGTGGTTTTGATTTGTGCTGTAAATAGTGTTGATAACATAAGGATGTTTTGGTTTTGTTACTGCTGAGCAGTGCTTACACAGCATCAAGGCTTTTTCTGCCTCTCACACTGCACGACCAGTGATTGGGCTGGGAGTGCATAAGGACTTGGGAGGGGGCACAACCAGGACAGCTGACCCCAGCTGACCCAAAGGATATCCCAGACCATCTGGTGCCATACTCAGTGTATAGAGACGGGGGAAGAAGGAGGGAGGGGGAGACATTTGGAGTGGTGGTATTTGTCTTCCCAAGTCACTGCTGTGCATGATGGAACTCTGCTTTCCTGGGGATGGCTGAACACCTGCCTGCCCACAGGAAGTAGTGAACGAATTCTTTGTTTTGCTTTGCTTGTACGCACAGCTTTCGCTTTACGTATTAAACTGTCTCTATCTCAACCATGACTTTTCTCACTTCTACCTTTCCAATTCTCTCCCCAGTCCTACCAGGTGGGGAGGGAGTGAGCAGCTGCCTGGTGCTTAGTTGCTGGCTGCAGTTAAACCATGACAGAAGCCTACCAGCTGGGTATGGGCTTTTGCCATATGAGTGACAGCATGGCCTGCAGAAATTTATTATTAAATTTAGTTGTGGAGAAAAAGAAAGAGAAAAACAATCTTTTAGCCTTTTAAATTCCTCTTAGATTTCATTGGGAAGATCATTATTTCTGTATTTTCTTCTGAAAAGAATTACATGCAACATCTTCATGCCTGTTAGAAAAATTTTTGAGGGTATATGAAAATTGCTCTGAAAATGTCTCACAATCCTTCATCTCCCATCAGTTTACAGCATATAAAGACAGATACCTGTCTTTCTTTATAAATTGCAGTGATTATGCTGCACAGTATGTGCAAAAACATTTTGGAAGGTGGTTTTCACACAGGTTTCTCTGAGTCAAAGCAGAGTCTGCTGTGCAAAGAAATTTGTCTCTAGTACAGTGGGACAGTAGTTTCAGACAGTATGAGGGCCAGCCTAGCTGGCTGCTTTCCACCTAACAGTCTTTTCTACCAGTGAAATGGGGACTGGCTGACATTTAGTAGATTATCTGTTTCCCTTTGGTCTTTTGACTGCAGACCTTGAAGAGGTATTTTTAAAAGTACAGGGTCAACACCTGGTGTATTGCTGTGTGACTTGAATGTGAGTGACTTTCAGTAGGTCATGGGGCAGCTTACTGTGTCACACAGACTGTCTACCTAAAGCTCCCATTGCCTTTCACCAACATTGGATGATTAGAGCTTGATCACTTGTATACTGGCATTGTGCCATGAAGCAGATGGGAATGAGCATAGGCAGACCAGGGACTATGTAGCAGTTAGAAATATGTTTACTGAGGATGGTATTCCCAACTGGGAACCTAGAGACATCTGTCTACACTGACCTAATGCTATTGTGCCAATGGTAAAAAGGTTGTGCTATTTGTAAGCTTTCAGAAATCAAATACAGAACTAGAATAATGATGATAAATACTGTGTTAGGAGAAAAAAGGGTAAAGCACCTTCAGTCAAGACCTTAACCTCCTCCCAAAATGCCTAGAGGTTTGAAGCAGAAGTGAATTTTCTCTCATTCTTTTGATTGCTCTAAAAACATTTGGATGATATCTTTAGTGAAAGACTTAGATAATTCAGTTCATGAAACTGAAGATTCATCCAGCCTTCTCCAGAATACCAGACACGAATAAAGCTCACGTATACATCGGACTGAAATTTACCATGGATTTCATTCATTCATTTCTGCTGAGTTTCACAGGTAATGAAACTGCCTATGTCTAAGATGTCCTTCTTCTGCACTTTGGGAGATTTTGGTTGTTTATTTCTGGTTTATGTCTGCTTTGTAATTTTACCTCAGGAGTAAAGAGCAGACAGTATTCTCACTCTGATGAAGTTTAGGGTACAATTCCCAGGCAAAGTTTGGAGGACATGTTGCATGGTTTGATTTCACAACTACCAACATTTCATGCTTTCTGCAGCTTGATGGCAATGGAGTTGGCTATAGGACCTACCATCTGTCATGGCATTTAAAAGATAAAAATGGAATCATAAATAGTGCCAACTCATTACAAAATCGAGCCAGCATGTCAAAATGGAGGACATTAGCATGTTCTTTTAGCATCCTGCTGCCAGCATCTGATGTCAGGTTGCTAATCACTTGAAGTCATCTGTCCAAACAAGCGCTGCCAAATCTTTCTTCCAGGCCAACAGCACCAAACAATACAGGTAAATTTATGTCTGAAGGAAGTACTTTAGTGGGAAGTAAAAATCTGGTCAGTTAATTCCTCCTCCTCCCACAATTACCCATATAATTAATTCCTTGTTGAAATAATAATACTGTTCTGCCAGAATATTTATATGTCTACATAAAACCAAATTATTTTCTAAATGATAACATTAAGTAACACAATTGTTTGGATTAAAATAATTATCAAATATCAATATTTATTAAAGCATCATAACCTTACCTTTATAAGACTGACTTTCTAGTTTGTTCTTAGTCATTGGCCTAAACAGAAAACATTGGGTTTATCCACTTTTGCAATTTGCCTAGAATTGTTTGATCTGTTTTCGTTAGTGTGATATGGAAGTCATACTGACACAAGCCACTATGCTACACCACCCAAACTAAGGCTGGCATGACTGCAACCTTACTCAAATAATCTAATCTAGTTTTGGTGAAAATGTTTCAAAATTAAGAAACAAAAAACCAGGGAATAAGTGTTCACTTTTCCTGTAGTGAGTACAAGTGAATCAGACAAATCTCTTAACTAGAATTTCCACCACACTGAATGCAGAGGAAGGGATAGTTAAAAATGTTTAATCTGAGGAAAGTTTCAGAAGAACTTTTGGGTTAACTCTGGACAATGCTACCTGACCCAGTATCACAGGGAGATTTATTTGATGTCTCCAAGCCCCACTTGCTTGACTTGCCTGCAAAAAAGTTCTCGAACTGGATGATGCAACGTGTTCTCCAATTTCATCATGCCTCACAGAAAAAGCCGTTCAGATCAGGAATTGATTCTAGGTGGCTGTAAAAAGGGTTTTCTCCTGAACTGCAGCTCTTAGGAGCCAAGTCTTTAATTTTTCTTAGTCACAAATGAAAAATAATAAGCTCTTAATTTTGAATTTTACAGTAAATCCATCTTCTGTCAAAAGCTATTCTCAGAAAAAAATTACCAATATTAGCAAAAAGTAATTATTCTTCCTTTAGAAACATTTTCTTTATTATTGAGCTGTGGATTTACCCCAAAATTTCAAGTGTCTACATGAATTTCAATATGGTATTGTCGTATTTGACACTATGGTATTGTCGAATTAAATTAAGTGGACTGGTTTTCATTATATTCCAGAATACTTAGGGATTCAGAAAACTCATAATCAAATTAATAGGACAAATTATATCAGAGAAGAAAGCTTGCATTTACCTGAATGGACCAGCTTTACCACATCCAGCTGTAGTGAGAAACCAAAGGAAAATTCTACCATGTTCTCAGTCCTTCTCTCTCACTTAAATCTTAACAGCTGTGTATGCCTGGGTGCTATAGTAATGTTGAAGCTAGTATTGAGTAAATGTGTCTCTGGTTATGTTTTCAGAATCCTTGAGAAAATGAATTTATTACCAAATCATTCCCAGCTATACTTATTGCAGTAGAAATAGATGTGCTATGTAAACATTGAGAATTCACACAGAGCCTCCGGCTCTTTTTAATTTTTTTTTTTTTTTTTTGGCGGGGGGAGGGGGTTGGGCATTTTGTGTTGTGCAGTGCAGGATTTTTAAACACCCCAAAAATTCAAGGGGAAGAGCTTGAGGGGTGGGGTACTATGCCTTACCTGAATGTATCTTCACGAGCAGCTGCCTTGGCTTTGTGAACATAGCAGACAATCTGTCGTGCTACATCCATTTGACTGAAGCTCGTAATGGAGATGCCAGGATAGCTGATATACTCTATTTGTCCATACTGGGGTGGGGAGGTTATCACATAAAGGAGCTCCTCTGGCTTGTCAGTACCATCCAGTGCAAGGAGGACATCAGTTGTAATGCAGCTGTGGTCCCCTTTTGGCACACTTAAAAGTTTCGTAAAAACCACTATGTCTCCTGCAGAATAGACAGAACAACACTAAAATAGTCATATTGAACTGGATGATCTCTTCTGCATTGCTTAGTCACAGGAAAGCCACCATTGGTAGAAAAATGATAAGACTTTATAGAGAAATTCAGCATGGAAAGAACTTCACGATATCTTTATTCTGACCTTCTGCTGAAAGCAGGGTCAGCCATGAGATCAGCCAAAGCCACATTCCTTAGGGCTTTATCCATTTGGAACCTGAAAACTATTATCCTCTTGGGGCCAAGGATGAAGAGGCTACAGCTGCTTTTGGCATGTCTTCCAACCTTAGCAGGAAAACCTTTATGTTTTTAATAGAGTTGTAATAAAAGAAGAGGGACCATGAGACTGTAGAATAACCTGGGAGAGAGATAGTTTCAGAAAGATATTTTCAGTGCTATCTTCAAAGCTGCTGGGAGTCTTGGGAGGCAAACTACAACACATTGCATTTGGCAGAGGCTTTTCAAATCCCAAGACCTGGCCAACAGTGAAGTCCAAGCAGTTAAACTTACAGGATCTGCAGGGACACTTGCCAGGATGTATATAGTGCTAAGAAAAGGATCAGGACATGCACTCAGGTATCTTGGTTTCAGAAATAGGCACTGTAAAACATCAAGTATAGTGGATCTTTACCCTTTTCCAAGTCCTTGATATTTACGTAGAAGTCCACAGCTGGGGATCTGTTGTACCCATCCCAGAGGTAAAATGTGAAGCTGTCTTTTTTCTTGGATCCCACAGCTCCTGTGTGGACATATCTCACAAGGTTCATATCCACCTCTTCCTGAGTGCACTTCATTCCTGTTCGGAGAGTCACCCACTCTTGTCCTACCTAGAAAGCATAAGCATCCTTCATTAACTGATAATCACAAATACATCCTTCCCAGTTAATTGTGTTTCTTTGTAGTTATGTAGACTGTTAGTGGCAGCTACCTGGCTTTCCTTCTATAGGCTCTTTCCTCACAGTATGTTTTGAAAGGCAGCAAATAACTGGAGTTTTTTTCCAGCAGATATAAGGCTAGAGAAGATACAATGATCATTAATGAAATAGAGTAATAATAGATTAATAAAATAGAGTAATATGAAGTTTAGCCACTTTTACTCTAGGAAATAAATTTCTGCATACTTCTCAATCAGACACAAAGATAAAAATTAAATCGTCCCGGACCCAGCTTATGTTTTCTATTTTTTCATTTCAAAAATCTGCTCTTGGTTCTATCTGAAATCGTAGCTAAAACTGTATCAGAAATAACTTCAGGGAATCACAGAAATTTAGAGCCCCAGAGGTCCTTAGCTAAAAAAAAAAATACACTGAATCACATCATAAAATTTCTTGCTGTTCTAGTACCCTAAATTGGACTGATCCGTGAATTCGACATTTAGCAGAAGTAACAGCATCACTAGATTTACAGCAAAGGTTATCAAGGGCAGAGAGCATATATATGTGCCCTATGTGTTCAAACTAACAGACTCCAGTCAGCAGCTGTCTCTTGCCTCAGACTTAATTCACAAGTCTTATGTGATCCACAGATTGAGGTTGAGATCCAGCATCAAAATGCTTTCCAAGTTCACAAGTTTTAGAAATGGAATTTTATTTCTATCACATAAGCATGCTATTTAAAAGAGGAAGTTTTTTCCAGCTTTGTTCCTTTTGCTTATTTGAGGTCAATGGATTGTCATCTCATCTTCCATTTCTAATCTTATTTTTTGCCATTCCTCTTGATACATCCTTTCCATCATCTTGATTTTCCCTTCCTTCCCCCTGTGCTTTTCTTCTACTTGATGAGGTATTACTTACTCCTTCACATGCAACTCCTTCTATGCTTTCTGAACCATGAAGTAACTGAAGTAAAGGCTTGTTTTCTTTTTTCTTTTCTTTTCCTTTTTCTTCTTTTTTTTTTTTTTTTAAATAAAAGACTTTCCCCCCCAGCTTGATTTTTCTCTCTTTGTGGGATGATGGGATGATTATCCCCGCATCTCTTTCAATTTTCAATTCAGATTATCTGCCGTGGTTTTTTTTTTACTTTCCATCTTCTCCTGTTCAGTGTCTGGGTTATAGTGCCAAAACCTCTTGGGCAGCATCATTGCTTGACTCAAACACTCCTTTAACAATCAAACTGGCCAAGTGTTTACTTTAAAATATCACAGGCATTTGGGAGAAAAGGAAAATGATCTTCATTTTGCACTAAAAAGAGAGAGTTCTTTGTATGCCTGCTTTTTGTTGAAGTACAAATACTAACCTTGAGCTGAAGCTGACCATTTTCTGGAAGTCTTTCAAATAAGTAGTAAATTCTCTCCCTGGGGGTATCTTTATCTTCTGCTGACAGAACAGCGCTAGAAATTATTTGAGTTTCACCTATGTTCACCTCTATATTGTTCTTCCTGAAAAAATTAAAAGTCATGTATTGATGCAATAAAAGCAACCTTTTCAACATGTAATTTCTCTGCCAGAAATAACCAAATGCTGACAGAAAATACATTTTCAGAGAGAATTGAAGAAGCGTGCCTATTTCTGTTCAAAAGAGAGAAAAAAAAAGCAAAAAGTGCATACAAGCTTCTCCTTACAATGGTGACAAACAGCTCTCTTATTTCCCTGGACCCTATTCTGCTTACCTTCATACAATTTATAGGAAGAAGACAATGTAAACAAATAGGCTGCATTGTTACTGCTAATATAGAGCACAGCAATGATGAACTGATTATTTAGGAAACTACTGCCTTTCAAGCAACTGGTCTTCAAGGCTCACCTCTATCTGTAAGAGAAACAACCATATCTAACTGGATTCTTCTCTATGCTCCTTCTAGCACCCACATCTCATTCTGGGAAGAAGCTCTCAAGAGGAATGTGTAAAGGCCTTAAATTCCCCAAGGGCACTTTCTGTTGCAGGATGCAATCCAAAAGGTGACAGATTGAGGTTTTGGCAATCACTGAGAATAAGAGGCACTGTTTTCCAGCCAAAAACATCCCATCACAGGATCTTCAGTCTGTTGACCATAACTAATGGAGATGAGAGCTGAAAATCCCTGGGGTTCCCTGAGCACCAGAAAGTGTCCAAAGATGAAAACATTAAGAAAAGATTACAGGTACTGCCCAATATTCACCTGTAAGACACTGCACTAGCATAAGGAACTTTGAAGCCTACACTGAATATGTAGAATGTGTCAGCTAAATCACCTCAGTGCCAAACTGAACATTTTCTTAAAGCACTACTGCTTAAATACTGGCAGAATTCTCAGTGGAGAAGTAACAGGCAAGAGCTACTAACTTCTTATAAAGGAATAGCTATTTTGGGAGTAGATGTCTCAATCTATGCTACTGTTCATCACAGGAATGTCGAGTGGTGGACCTAACATTGCCAGACAAGGAAGCAACAGTTTCTGGATCTAGCTGGGCAAAGCTAAAGACACTTGACTTCTTGCACTTCATCATCTCCTTTTAGAGAGAGAAGGTGGAAAATGGCAGATCAATCTATAGCATTATGTGAGGGAAAAATAGGCAATTATCAGTAATTATCTGTACATGATATATGCATACATAAATTATACTTTTTATTCTAACTGAAAATTGTCATTCTCTCATGTTAGCTTTATGTGGTCATTGAAAATCTTTTAGCTAAGAAACTAACATTTGTTATTGTAGGAAGCTCTACTTGGCAAAAATAACATTAGAAATTCTTTGCAACGGGAAACGTAACTCTGATATGAAAGTAAGCCAAATACCCTGAGGGATCAGAAATTCCCTCCTTAGTGGCAGTCTGCTTGACAGGTTGTGAGTCTGAAATGCAAACTTTAGCGTTTCAGAGCTATACCCACAAAACCTTTGGACTCTTAGCTTCCCATCTGCCTGTCTGGAGCTGGAAAACAGTCACAAATATGTAGGTCCTGATGCTCTGTGACAAGTCATCAGTTGCAGATCCCAAGGGATGAGCTCCTTTTTAAAATGTCCAGGAGGTTTGGCTCTTTTGCAGCCAGCTGCCTATCTATAAATGGTCTGCCAGGCCATTTCTGACCATGTCTAATCCATCTATGAGTCCTGGTTTTGAAGCATTAGGGAAGTTAGTGTGTGCCTTTGCAGCAGCAGAATTATGGCAGAGAAAAAGAATTTTAGAATATAAAAGAAGAGAATTACAATCTGAAAGCCCTTTCCCTGCTTCAACCTTGTGGATCCTCTCACATTTTCTTCCAAAATCCAGAATTGCTTTCAGAGAGGTGTTTTAGGCAGGTGTTTATTTCTCTCAGAGAGAGGAAAAACAGTACTATGGCAGTCAGTGTTCAGCAGAGGCACAACACCTGGCAAACACCTTGTGAAAAACAACTTATGAAAAAAAAAATGAACACATTTCCCCAGGCACTTTTTCCTCTATTTGCTTAATATAGAGCAATACTAAGCATGCACTTCTTTCATTAATTTTTATTTTTTTTTTGTTAAATGGATCTACAGAGATCTACATAGAAACATTTTTACTGACATTAGTCTGTTACTGGTTATGGCTTCCTCTTTGCATCAGACACCAAAGATGTGGTTTAATGGTGAACATGATGGGAGGCTAGGTTGATGGTTGGACTTTATTATCTTAAAGGCCTTTTCCAACCTTAACAATGGTATGATCCTAGGATTTGGTGTTTTGTGCACTTTTCCATCATTTTTTCTGAACACATCCCACTGTCATAAACAGGAGCATGTGACTTACTTGCTCAGCACTGGTTTCTCATCATTAACTGGAATGACTTTCACTGAAATGGTTCTGAGGACTTTATGTTTTCCGTCTGATAGCTGAATTCTAAAGCTGTCAGTGAGGTTTTCAGAGTTGTCATGCATGTACATCAGCTTCATTCCTATGTGAGGCAGGAAGAGGGAGAAAAATAAGAGAGAAAGAGAGGGAGAGGAAGAATGAGTGAGAGAAATGGAAAGAGCAACTTAATCTGACTCCTGCAAAATCCTTCATCATTTCACTCTGCTTCAATCACCTTTCTTCCATCTCCCCTCCCCATATGCCAGGGTAACAATAAACTTGCCTTAGCTACCACAAGATGAGTTTTATGAGCCACTGCTGTTCAGTGATCTAACAACATACTATTGACTCAAGGTCACCAGCCTGACCTAAGCAAGGAGTGACTCTCCAAAAAAGGGCTCTCTGTCAATCTGAAAAAGGTACATTTCTTCTCCTCCTCTCCTTATTCCAAATCACTTTGATAGGGACCATAGAGAAGGTGAGACCGCCTGGAAATACTTTCCTGTGCTTTAAATAGCCCTCAAGCGACTTTGAAGAAGCCTTTGGAAGGACAGCTGGCTTCGTATCTATGACCATGGACAATCAGAAGTTCTAGGACAAAGGTGGCTCCTTCACCATTGTGGATAACAAAAGGAAAAAGCCAAGAAGGAAAGTCAAAACCAAGACTTGGGAAGGCAGAAGAATTTGGGGTGGACACCTGATATTTCTGGAGGTTCATATTAGACAAGCAGAGAGACATAAATTCTTTCCTCAGGTTTTGAGGGCTGAACTGAAATTTGAGTGACAGTATTGAGTTCATGCCTCTCTTCATATTGATAGATTGCATGTTTCACTAAATAGCCACAATCATGAGGAATCCACTATATTCCTTGCAGTGTTAAATCCACTTTTTTCATTACAGGTAGTTGAAATAGATTTGCTGTTTTAAAGCAGTCTGACTGATCATGCTAAGCTGTGGAGTCCAAATTTGTACATTTATTACTAGACATATGGTAAATTGCAGCCTTTCAATGTCTGAAGAAGGTTTATAGGAAAGATAGAGACTTTTTACCAGTGCCTGTAGTGACATAACAAGGGGCAGGAGTAGGTTTAGGTTGGTCATAAGGACAAAACGTTTTACAGTAAGAGTGGTGAGACACTGGAGCAGTTTGTCCAGAGTGGCTGTGGAACACTGGAAGTGTTCAAGGTCAGCTTGAATGGGACTTTAGGCAACTTGGTCCACTGCAAGTTGTGCCTGCCCATTGCAGGGGAAGTGGACTAGTAAAGGTCCCTTGCAACTCAAAATGCTCTACAATTCTGTGATCATTTGAAGAAGAACTTATTCCCATGATCAGTTAACGTGTTTTTAAATCAGTCTTGTTGTCTCTCTATTCTAGGTGCTGTAAAATGTTTACAAATCTGTTTGAGGATGTTACATTATGTTACACCATATTACATAATTCCTTTTTTTTTTTTTTTTTTTTTTTTTTTTTTTTTTTTTTTTTTTTTGTGATTTTCCTACTCATATTACTACCCTTTGTGATACGGAGGTCTCCCAGGATGATTTTATTGGCAGTTCCTCAAATCAATAGACAAGAAGAACATTAAATGGGACAACTTCCATTCCTCAACACTGTCTTGAAAATAAACCTAAGGCAAATGAATAAATAAATGATGAAGATTTCTTTAGTGTGCCACTTGCCTCATTAAAGGAAAGAAAGACCATTGTCAGAAAAATGCTGCACCTACCATTCCTCAGTAGCTCCATGGAAAAGTCATGAACAAGCAAGCCATGGCTGTGGTGATCATGGTTAATTAAGTCTCTATAATGTAGAACATCACCGCCGTGAACACCATTAATAAGGAATCCGTACAAGGGCCTCTGCACAACCCTGAACACCAGAGGGTCTTGAGGCACATCCAGATCAACTGCATTGATAACAGACAGGTTCAGCTCTTTCATCTCTCCTTCCTGAACCTGAATGTGAAAGAAAAAACACCCAATTCTTTTACATTAAAATAAATGATAGAATTCTAACATGGTTTCATGAGTAGGGTATTTTAGTGTACAAGTGTATCTTTTGATGCATCCACCCCTTACCCTGTGGCTTTTTAACCAGCTACCGATTTCAACGAGTTTAAGAGACACAGAGAAATTTGCAGGTTGCAGTGATGAAGAGAGTTGAGATAAGGAGTTTATATTTGCCCAAATTAATAGAAAATGTGTTACATAAGTCAATGCCAAATCTAATGTTCAGAAATGCACAAAGGAGAAAGCCTTTAAATACATAAAGGTATCTAAAAATATATATATATTATATATATATTTATATATATATAAATTTATATGCATCACTTTTTATTTATAAATTTGTATGATCACTTTTTACTTTACAGTAAGAGTAAGTTTATACTCTGTGCTCACAGAGCTATTTATATTTTAAAAAGTCTACAGAGAGGGGAGAAACTATGCCAGAAATATAAAAAATACTCTATTAAAAATGTGAAAGCTCTTGAGAATTCAGAAGAGGCCTAAAGATTGCTCTGCATTCTAGATTACTTATTTGTTTAAAGATCTGAGCTATTCTTTTTACTAAACTTCAGATTTCCAAGAGCTATGCCCTGCTCCTATCTCACTGAAGCCCTGTCTTACAGGTTTACATGGGCTGTTTCTGAAGTAGGCTGAACTACAAAAGTAAGGGAAATATACAGGGGAACAGATATCAGGTCAGTGCTCTTATTTATGTTAAAGAATGGTTTCTCCTTAAAGTAGTTCTATGACAGGCATTTTGCTTATTTCCTTACAGTAATATTCCTGGTTATGAATTCTGGAACTTCATCATTGGTTGGGCTGATTAGCACAAAAAATGGGATCTCTGCTGATCTATGTAACCCATCAGTGACATAAAGTACAAACTTGTCTTCTGTTGGCTCCATTTGCAAGTGCCTAGCTTGAACATAGTTTATATTCATGGCTTTCAGGTGCTTCAGCTGAAATGAAACTACAGATTTTAAAGAGAAAATGAGTTAGCACAATATTTTCATGCCATCTAGTTTTATCCATCATTTAAAACATTGAAACTATGTCTTTTTTCAAAGAATAAATAATTTGAACTTCTTCAAAATTTCAAAACTGTATTTTTTTGACTGTAAGAGCTACATTGCATGTATTACTGCAGGGCACAAGCCCTTTCCCCCAGAAAATACTGCCTCATTCTGCTTCAGCTGTTTCAGCCCACATGAAACTAACTCAAATAATATGTAGGAAAATATCTGAGGTCCAAGATTCCTTGATAGCACTGTGTTAATCACTGAAATTGATGGTTTTTTCCAAGCTAAATGATTCCATGATTATATTATTCTAGTAACATTTTATTTGGCTGACAGACCACAAAAATGAGGCGTTAAAGACTCAGTGATTGCAGGTTTCCAGCTGAGAATGCTGGTAAAAGCTGGTAGCATTACAAAGCGTGTCACAGTCTGTTCTGCTGAGGGTGAAACCCCCTAACACAGTTTGAACGTGGGCAAGGGAAGTCACCATCGAAGTCAAAACACCATGTCTATCACTTTTGTAACATTGTCTTGGAAACTAATGTGGGACCCAGGCTACTGCATTTAATTGACAGAGGTATAGATGATGGAATGCTGAATCTTTTCATGGGGGACTGAAGAGGAAGGCAGGGAGAGCAGAGAAATGTCTTGATAATGTCATGACTTCTAATAGATCTCAGCTGGTTGCATAAAACAAGTATTGCCTTGTTTACTTCAAGGGCTAATTCTTCACATTTGCAGAGCTTCAGTCTCCCTTTGAAGTCCTCCCACAAAGTCCCACTGCTCTTCATTTGCCAGCACCTGCACTCCTCAATAAGCCCATATTAATGCCCACACCTGAATCTGCACCACCAGAGCCCACTGCAGAGCCTTCCACAAGCCCTCCAGGTTTAATCTGCTTGATTATCACAAATTGTTAAAACTTACCTATGCTTATTCCCATGTTGCTCTTCTCAAACCCAGGAGAAGGCAGTATATTTTCAATGTAGCCAAACTGGGGAGGAGAAACCAACACAAACTCTAAGTCATCTGCAGTGGTGTCAGGGTCAGTGGCAAATAAGTGATTGGTAGTAAGGGCTGCTGAGGAGCCCTCCTCCACCACAAAACTTGCACCTGTGCACAAAAAACATGTTAAGCATTATTGGTCATGAGCTCATTTTACTGTTGTTTTTGTTAATAAGAATGGAACTAATAACTGAGGGGGGAAATACAATAAATACTTAATTACTGAGGGGTTTTAACATTTTTTTTCTCTGCTTTCACCAACATCTCTGCTTTTGCCATCACAAAAGTAAAGAAGAGGATCATGAAAATATTTTACTGGTTAAGTTATTAGGTAAGGTTTATATACTGCTCAAAAACAGTTGTTACCTCTGTTTGTCAGAGCATTAATTACATGAGAGCTGTTAAGAATTGCTCATAATGAACAATTTTTCATGCATCACTTCTTAATTTCCCTGCTGAGACAATGCTTCATTTCCAGAACATTACTTGGGTGAGTGCCTGCAAATTACAAAGCTATTCATACATATGTTTAAATATTCTCTGAGATACATAACATATACCTGATACATGCAAACAAATGACATTGAAAGACACAAGCAGATGGAAAACATACTTCTAATATGTATATCACAAACCACAGTAAAAAGCCCAGGAAATTGACTGAAATTTCACACAATGGGCTGCAGCTGGACAAGATTTACATAATCAACTCTATTTCCATTTTAACTGAGTTTCTTACATTCTGAAGAGTACTTGTGAAAATGTGGCTTCATATCTATTAATGTATAGATTTTGTCTTTATTTGCTAAAAGAATGAAATATAAGTAGGTAGCAATGATTCTGTCCCTTCAGAAATGTAAGGCCCAAATTTCTTTTTTATACTCTACACACAAAGGTAAGTAAAATATCTCTATTTATGTTTATGCTTTTGTATAAACCTGACACCCGTTGAGCCACAAGTTAAGTCCAGGGACAAGATATTGATCCCTTTTACCTAGACACAGCCTACATACACAGCAATTAGCATGTGGACAGGGTGGGGAGCAGATCTGAGCACTCTCATTTCTAACCACATGCTCTAAACAAGCAGCTGAAGAGCAGCAAGCTCATCCTTGCACTGCCAGCTGGATTGGGTGTTTGCGCTGTACAAGCAAAAGAAAATAAAATTGATGGAAATTCTGATCCAAAACTTTTGTATGTTGATCTCAACTAACTACCTGTAATGCTAAAACTCAAACAACCAAAAAAGCCATCCTGAGTCATCTGTTAGCCATTACAGTACTGTGTAGCCCTCCCTCTTTGTACTGCTGTAGTGAGAAGAAGCTTTCACCAGTTGCAATTGATGGAGGCTGGTTATCCACTGGAAGTACAGTGATGTTAAGGTCATAGACAGGAAATGGATCATCACGTGAAACTGGAGGAGAACGAGGTCCATCATAACAGCAGTCTTTCACATCTAGGCCAGCCTCACCATCAGAGACAATCAAGGTTAAGATCTCAATGGAAGGAGTCAGGCCAATCTCACCGCCTGGGGAAAGATATCATGTTTCAGAAGAAATTATTTACCAAAACTTCATGAAGATTAATTTTTATCCTGCAAGGACAGTCTTCAGTATCAAGTATCAGAAGAAAAAGAAAGCAGCAGCAAAAGTACTGGAATTCTTAATTCTGGCTGGTGAGGGTGCTATTTGGTTAGAGATTCGGTTTGTTGTCTACAATTAATTTTAACCAGCTCACTTCTATGATATAATAAGACGGTATAGAAAAGAGTCTTAGTATTATAGAAATTATAATGTTACAATTGCAGTGTTATGATATTCTATTACATAGTAATAAAATGGCTAATAGTCCTCAGGATTCTGTTCTTTTTGCACTAATGTATGTACAAAATGTATATTGTGTAGAAAAAGTGTTTTTTCTGCACTCCTTCTCAAAGAATGTTGGAAAATATTTCTTATATATGAATATGTGTAGATGCAGATGTGTGTATATATGTATATGTATATGTGTGTATACATATATATATATATGTGTTCCTCTATGACAGATGGTAATATCCATGATCTTCCAAAAGAAAACTTTTTAATATGGCAAGTAATGCCTGTATTCCTATATGCTTCTTATCCTTTCAAAATGGACTATAACAAGGGCCGTACTTTATTGTTGTACTTTATTACTGTACTGCATATATTATGTCTATGTGTAATCACATTTAAAATGTGGCCTGATACAGGACTGTGAACTGCCACCCCTAGCAAGAAACATCTGTGGGTCAGAGTACTCCAGCTGTCAGCACTTCTGGAAGCACGTGTCTCGTATTGCTGCAAGATATTATTAATAAACAGCCTGCAAAGGAAAGGCAGTGACTCCCAGACTCTCCTGCAATACCTAATGAGAGCACAATTAATGTTAGAAATTTGGAAATGAAAACCAGAAACACCACACTCTTGAAGGTGCCCCTGTAAAATATTCATTCATTGCCCCTGCAAAATATTGTCATTGAAATACAGCTTGTGATATCTTTAGAATGCGAAATAAAAGTTTGTTATTGGTGGCCACAATTAAGTACTTCCTTTTCAAATACCAGCTGTTCATTTTAGACAGTGCCAAGCTTGAAAAAAAAAAAATCTATTCTCCATGCTAACACAAAATTACAGAATAATTAAACAGAAGACCAGAATGTTTGGGGGGAAAAAAAAGACTAAAGCTGTCATTCAGAGGTGTAGAAAGAGGACCTCTTTAATCCCAATGAAAGGATAAATTCAAGTAAGAAAGGGGGTTAACCAGCCCTTGATTTCTGCCAGTAACTAAAAAAAAAAAAAATTACTAACAATAAAACCACAAAATAATGTCTTTTTAACATTGTGTTTCTCATGAAGAAAGTCAGAACTTCCTTTATCTTGTGGTAAAGAAAGACTGTGAACTGTCCAAAGCAGATAACCTTCTAAACTGGAGAGGTAAACAAGAAGTACAAAAGCGTTTTTTGATTTGTCATGAAACACATCAAAATACTCTCATTTGTACTTAATAATAATTTTACCAAAAAAAGCCCAAGATATGTCAGCAACAGTGAAAGAGTTCCTCTGGGATTATGATGCTTTCATGTACCTGTTCAAATATAATTTTCAGTTCAAGCAGGGATTTGGAGAACATATTAAAATATTTGGTAGCTGTCTACCATCACCCCCCTGCTTTAAAGCCAGTTAATTTTTTCCCTAGTCACAACATGTGGTTTCTAGGAAGTTCCTACTGGAATTCCACAAAGGCATGGATTCAGGTTAAGGTTTTTTTACTAACACTTGTCTGACCACCTTTCAGTCGAATTCTGTCCTCAGCTCACTTACTAGTGTGCTTGTATGTGACTAAACCAGCGACGACATCGGCTTGGGAGAAACGATCCACGGCAATGCCAGCTTTCCTCACTACGCCCTGGTAGGGCTGGCGGGCCAGCATGAACATCAGCTCCATGTCATCGCTGTCCGCGTCTGTGGCATAAATGTGCTGTGAGGAGAGAACTACTGCTTCACCCTCCAGGCAGTGGAGCACGGGAACAAGGCCTGTTTGCATAACAGGTAGCTGATCATTCACAGGCAGCACCTAATCAGAAAAATAAATTAAGATTTTCTTATTGCTCATTTCATTGGAAGCCGGTTAATTCAGGACACTGCTTTGCAGCTCAGACTAACAGTATGATGCCAGAGATGGCAGATATCAGAGTATATTGGCATTTCTCCATGGGCAAAAAGAAACCAGCTGAATTGAGAATAAAAGACGTAAGTAGACCAAACTAGATAATTATAGTTTCAGTACAAAGCATAAGTCAAAGCTCCTCTCAAGTTTGCCACATAAACCTGAAACCTAGGGTTTAAATGGAAGCCTAATATATCCATTATCTTCCAGTTTCCAAGGTAATGCAAGGACTTTCATAAGCCAAGCTTTGGACCATTTGCCTCCACACAGACAGTTCTCAGAAAGATGCAACACACTGACCTTGACATGCAGGATGAACTCTACAAAATGGATGCCATCTGTGGCTGAAAAGAAAACATCATCAGTGAGAGTCTCCGAGCCGTCATGACGATATCTGTGAAAAAAGATTATAGAGATGCACAAATTCTTCACAAAGATGAAGAAGAATTGATGCTTTCTGGTCATGCCCTACAACGTGTGTCCCTCCTCATATAAAAGCTTCTCCCTGTGTAAGTGTTCCCAACTTAACAGTGCTGATTCAGCATCAGAGTTCCCCAAAAGGGCTTTTGGGGTATCTTAAAAGAAGAAACTCGCAAAAGTAAACCATTCAGCAGTCAGAAAAAAGGTTTCCCTAAGGCTTGTGAGGTTCTCTGGCTGCTTGTGAGGTGTTCACCAAACACGTACGTCACCATGGTAAGTGCCTACTTTCTAACACATGGAAATAGAGCCAGGGAGCTCTAACTCTGCATGAATGTGTCATGTCTTGTTCTTGCCACAACTAGAAAAGCAAAATTTTCATCTCTATACTAATTAATTTTAACAAAAGTTTTCTTGTAAACTAACCAAGCTTAATAAACATACAACTTCCTTAAAAGAAAATAGCTGGCAACCTTCTTCACAGGAACTGCATGGCTGAATACAAAACTAGTTTCCTCACCAGTGCCTTATAGAGAAACCTATCTCTAGCAGGCATGCTGACTCCCATTTCCTGGCCACACAACAGCTCATTTCATGGTGACACTGCAATCCCAAAGCTCAGACAGCTATCTTGTCCTGGAGCAGCTCTGCCAGAGTTGTGGTGAATATTGCTAGCCTCTGCACCCTGCACCACTTAAGGGTTCAGCTCATTCAGCTGAGAGCCTCAGCCACCACAAAAGACAGCCACTACTCTTCTAACCTGACTGCCAGGGTACACAGGTCCTCATAGGAAAGCCTGTCCCCTCCTTTCATGGGAATGTCATCCAGCTCCACTACCCCATGCTGCGGCTGCCTCTGCAGGAGCAGGAAGAGATGCTCCCGTTTCGTGTCTGCGTCAGAGATGAGAATGTGTCCTTCTGTAATAGGGGTCATGCCACCCTCTTCCACTCTCAAATGGGTTGTAAAGACCTGCAGGGAGAAAAAATGCTGAGCTGTCTGTGCTGTTGCAGCCCTAAACATATATCAAACAGGGTTATTCTCATTTGTTCTGCTATAGGGATGTGTAATATCTTTTAAAAAATGCCAAAGGATATACTCTTTTCTGCTGTGCTAGAAAAAGCTAAGGAAATTACTAACAACCAATAATACATGCATCCTAGTTCTTGTCCCACTCCTGGAGGATTCTGACCTCCATAGGCAATTAGCAACACAAAATATACGGATGCAGTTTTGCTGACCAAGATGTAACATATGTGTTTTTGTATAGATACATAGATGCCAAAGGTAATCTCAGTTTAGCACAGAAAAACCCATTGCACACCCACCAGACTTTACCTTATACTTCTATCCCAATGCAAGCTGTGTGCAAAACTCTGAAACCCTGATCCCATGGAAAATTCATTTTTTATCTCAGTAAAACCAGAACATTTCTCTGCATTTCTGTTTTTTCCCAAAGAAATTTCCAAGTCCTTCCTTCTCACTTTCACCACCACCCTACCTCTGGGGCCTGATTGTCCACAGGAAGAATTGTAATATTGAAGCAGATCCCATACAAAGTGCCCCCATGCTGATTGCTGACAGAAAAAATAAACTGGACTTGCTGAGGTTCAGGTCCAATGTCCTGCAGGGGTGGCATGTAAGCAACTTTCATATAGTTCACAGCATGCTACAAAAAGAGAAGAGGGGTGCATGTAAGAGGAGATAATGGGGATATCCATAATCCATCATATTAGGGATCTTTATCATCCCCTGTTCAGGTGTTACCCAGCCACCAAAATAAATTCCAGAAATTTTGCATGTACTCGTTAGCTACTAGCCATACCTTGATTAAATGCTTCATTAGGTACAAATTAGGTAAATACAAGTTCAAATACTCAAACCTGTAGCAAAAATTCCAGATACAGCTTAGAGGCGGTAGCAGAGGTGATAGCCTGTACTTCTTTATGGATCCCTTTAAAAATGCTGGTCTAAGGACCTTTTCTAACTGTGGCATTAAAATACATGATTCATAAAAGCTAACACCTCCCACAGCAGCTGAATTTGCCCTCATCAATGTGAATATTAACTGCATGTCCTGTGTTTCATGGTGAGGACAGGCCAGTGATAGGAACATCAAAATCTTGCATCCAGATACCCATCCATATAAGGCATACAATTTAGGATCTGTAGGGTCAGAGATCTCATTATGGTACTGCAATGATCATTATGCAACTTTAGCCATACGGCAAGATATAAAACAGGACACTTTAGTATTTGTCAAACTACAAAAGCATAAAAACTTAACTACAAAATCCTGAAAAAAATTCTGTTCTGGCCTGTTCCATCCTATAATACATCTTCTGGTGGAGACACTGAAATGAAGCAGGAAGCCATTTAAGGTCTCATTTCCTCATTTTGTGTACTTTTTCATTCCTCCTACATCATGTGTACCCAAATTCAGCCTACCCAAGCAACTGTAGCCCCTGCTGGTTTTAGGATATTTGTATTAACATATTGCAAATCTGAAGCATGATACAAATTTGTTTTAAAATCTGGTATTGGAATAGCAGAGTTTTGAGCTTTGTAAACTGAGCTTGTGATAGTACTGCTGCTCAGTTTTCACTTCTTGTTTTCCTGTCAAATAAAATGTTACACTTGTAACATTTGAAAATGGTTTAGAACTCATTATGGTATCAGATAACATAACAAACCTGAGTAAATGACTGCAGTGCAAGAGCAGCAGGATCCTTGACCAATTTGGGGATGGTGTCCACCATAAATAGCTTCCCAGCATCTGAGTAGCTACACAAAAACATGTGTCACATCTTAGCTAGCAGTAGCAAAGAACAAGAAAAATAGCCACATAGCTCAATCTTGCATTTCAAATTACCTTCGCATTTCTGACTGCATTGAAAGGAAAAACATTTTCCTTTCTTCCATCCTTGTTATCCCTTTAAACATTACCACAGAAAACTGACCAAAAGTGGTCATGAAAAATTTTCTCCTAATTTACAAGCAAGCTCTGGAATTGCTGCAACTTCGTCTCTACATATCTCTACATATTCCAGATACCATTTACGCCACCTGCATTTATTTTTAAGTAAGAAAATTAATTACTTATGGTTATAAATTTATAATATATTGCATCTTATAAACTCTGAAATTAACCAGTTCTCAGCACCTCAGCTATCCAGCAGCAGTAACCAGCAAACTAGATAATCATGTGGCTATTTAATTGATTAGGGAAACAGCCTTCTCCCCCAGCTACATAATGATCCTTTGCTGCTTGAGGTCAAAATTGGAAGTGTTGATTTTCAGCTTAAACCATACAGTATCTGGATTTCAAACTTTTCATTTAGGAAATCATTGCTGATGCTGTAATGAGATTACAACACCAGTGATGTAAACTTCTACTACACCCATTCATTCCATACCTCCCTTGCTCCCACAGCATGCTCTGCCTGTTTTCTGCTCTGCCTCTTCCTAGTCCACAATCAGCAGTGCCTGATACATATTCTTGAAAAAGTTGCACCCCATTCTAACACTTAGAAGAGGTACTGTGACTTGTGCTTGAGGCTGCATGGGATCCCACAAGTCAGTGTAAAATGCATGTGAAACAAAAGGAAATATTTCACAAGATTTCTTGCTTCTTATTTCTTGTTCAACTATGCATTACCTATTTTTTATTACTCTGTGTATTATTACCCTGTTCCTTCAGGCTCTGGCTTACCCTTAATCATCAACAGGAGAGCTGCATCTAGCTATTGTCACCTGCACTTTCAACAAACAGATAAAGAACTTGAGGCACAAGTATGTTACTGCCACTGAGGTTGCTCCTCTTACATGGGTTGTTCCCCTGTCCCACATGGAAGGTGTGTCAGGTTGCACCTACCCATGGCTGCAAGAGAAAAATGGGGAAGTGGTTATGTTGTATGTGAGCTCCCTGTCTTGCTCTTCCACATCTGTGAAGTGGAGATGTTTCTTAGTGAGGTGGGAAATCTCAGTCTCCTTAACAACCAGGTGACGGGTTGCTCCAGGAACTTCTCTGGGTAGCTGGTCATCCACAGGGATAATGTGAACCATCATCACCTAGAATTGGGGAGACAGTAGAACCGTCAGCCATTCCTCTCAGTAAGAGAGCAGCTGTGAACCAACATGCACCCAGAAGTGGATCACTGGACTATGAGATACAAGATGTGACTGTCAGGCCATGTCATCATCACATCGGTAGCAGAGGCATATCACAGTTAAGGGCAAAGCTTTTAATCTTAGAAGTTTCCCTTTAAATGCAAAGTTAAATTCAGTATGGTTGACTCATGCATGAGAAAAATAGTCTATTCTCAGCTGACTTTATGAGAGTTGTTTAATTTGTTTGTACTGTCTCTAAGTACAATTTGTTTTCAATGTTTCATTTTGTAGTATAGGAAATAGTCTTTTCTACGAGCTTGTCTCTATTCAGCCAGGGAGAGAACAACCCCACAAGAACAAGAAATAGCCCTGAAGAATACTGTTTGTGGTGATGACTATCATCAGAAAAAAACTACACCAGTTTTATTTGAAAACCTGTCAGAACCTGTAACGTATCAGCCATTTGAAGAAAAAAATCAGGAGACTGCAAAGATGTTTCCATTTCATACCTGTGGCTCTGAGAGATTTGGAGGGTCATGGCTATCACATAGCACAAACTCAAGGGAATCTTCAAACACTTCTCCTCCCAAATGACGATAATAAATTATGCCATTAAATAGATCCCTCTGAAGAAAACTGTTGACAGAATACCCTGTTGAAATGAAGAATACATCTTCCATTGAACACTCCATTTATACTACAATACTACAGTACAATTCAATACTACAATAAAGTTATGCTTTAGCTGTGCAACTGAGGAAGAATAATGTCCTCTTTTCCACCCTAAGTGAATTAAGTCCTTTGAAATGTTACTCATTGTCTTCCACATTCTCTGAAGATCACCAACAACTTCTTTTTTGTGTCACTTAAAGATCATTCAAAAAATGAAGCAACATAGCAAACAGGCTGAAAGCCCTGTTCAGAAGAGAATTTGCAGGACTAGTAGCCCCTGCAGCCTAGCAGAGGAATTTCTGGGTTGTTGCACAGGAGAGCTTTCTCATCATTACATTACATGATTACATTTCTCATCATTACATGCACAATTAGCATCATGTATTAACTCTGAATTTGTCACAGTGCATGTAAACTAACTCCTGGCTAGCCCAACACATTTTCTAGATAAAAGTACTGGAAAGGAAAATAGACTCAGAATGGAAGAATTTCAGGATAAATTATGGACGAAGGGACAGTTATCCTAGTGCAGAGACCAACATTAGTGATGTGGTTTTACACTACAATGAAAGAAGTCCAAAACTGCCATTTTTTGTCCTGAGCCAAAATAACATGTCTAACTGTAACATTTACTGTATTTTTAAAAGAAGGGGGACAAAGAAAAGTGTGCTTTTGTGGATGTGTTTCTTTACCTATTAAGTTTGGTCCTGGTTTCTTCATGATTTCTCCAGCCTGTGATGGCTTGGTAATATTGAATAGTATGTAGTCGTCACTGGAATCCATGTCTGAAGCATGAAGCATGGAGCTCTGAATCAGCATTGTCTGCCCCTCGTGAACTACAATGACCACATTGCTGATCAGAAATGGAGGGCTATCATCTTTTGGGAGGATATTTATCGGAAACTTATGTCGAATACTGTGGGGGCCATCAAAGATTCTAAATACCACAAAGTCTTTAGTAGAATCACTGTCATCGTGATGGTAATGAACAACCCCAGCCTGAATGTCAGAGACGGTGAACAGGAATCCTTTCTGTCCTGTCAAAATAGTGGAAGAAAACACATCAAAAATGTGTGGTTCAGCCCAGAAAAGTAAATTTCCAGGTTGTGAGGGGGAGAGATGAACAACATATTGCTAACTAGATAAATCAAATGTAACTCCATCTAGGAAAATAAAAAAATTGTAGGAGTTGGAATAGCTAATAAGAATGCAAAATTTGCAACTGTGAAACCAGAGAAAATCCTCCAAATCTCACTAAAGGTAACTAGAGACACCAAAGATTTTTTTTAACTCTGGTTGTTTCCACTTTAATTTCAATGTCTACTTTCTTATCAGAGCATTTTACATGCATTTTAAGCATCAAAGAATATAGTATTTATAGTTAAAGTTCAGGATTTTGTTGCAAGTAAAATATAATGACGTGGGGATTTTGGTGTACTGATATTATTGTCTCTAATAAGACAGGTTTATACCTCTGCTTCACTGGAAATGTTATGTATACAGACAAATATACAGGCAAGTTAAATAATTCAAGAATTGCAAGCTGGCACTAAAAGGTATGATCTCCTCAGAGCCACCAAGTAAAGAAACCAAGCATTTCTCTAAGGTTTTACAAAAAGAAGACAATTGCCAAAAATTGTGGTGATGTTTTCCTTGGCATGTACCTATGCGGACAGATAAAAGAGAATAAGGTGCAGTCACTGGAGACAAAATATCCACCTCTGGTTGGTGCATGGTCATCTTAGAATCCCTCAAGCTCAGTATGGAAGGGCAGGACTGCCACCAGGAGATGGGCCCTGACTGGCTGCACAGTCTCCCTAACACTTCAGTCTCTGGGGCTGAACCCACCCAGCACTGCTGACTCCACGCTGTTCCTGTCTGTTGCTTGGCAGCAGGATGATCTTGCAGACACTGGACTACTTGTCAGGAGTTTCCTGAGTTTAAGTTTACTTCTGAATAGTTTTTATATTTGCTAGATTCAAAACGCTAACTTTCCTTTTATTTAAATAGTTTCTTTATGTCTTTAGGTTATCCATTTTACATAAACACATTCAGCTATCAAAAAACTCAGCATCGATATTGGCAGCATGTTCCCACTCTGCCAAGAGCAGAGTGATTGCCATTACACAACCTTTTTCCCAAGCACTGAGACCCCTTGCGTGCTGCAGAGCAAAACTAATAATATTGATAATGCAGAAGGCTAATGAGTTAGAAGTCTAATTTAATTTCCACTTCTTGAAATAAACCTTAAAGCTGCTGGTAGCAACTATATCTGAAGGTTGTCTGTATTTGCCAGTAAATCAAAATCACTTGGCATTCCTTAACATCTGCAAACAAAAATGTAAGAACTAAAAATGTATTGACTGTGTTCCTCCTAAACCATGTTTCTCAATGAAAGCATAGCTGATCTCTTTAAAATTTTGCCTTTGGAGTATAAACATGCATTAGGAAAGTAAAGGTTTAAATACTGATTTTTTGAACATTCCTGTTTTAGTACCCATGTCTAGCATGGTTGTAGCAGAAGAAGGCGGTCAGCAGAGGGAGCAGAGCTGCTGTTTTATCATTGAGGAGATTTTTCCAGTCTCTGGAGCTGAAATTACCTACCTCTCACTGACAGCCGCCCATGCTGTAAGCCATCAACTGTGACCAAGCGAACGTTTTGGATGTCATCATTGTCCACAATTTGGAACTGTTGCCATGTGATGGGTCGGGATTGTCCCTCTAGGAGGTTGAGGCCTGCAAAGAGCAGAGACTTACGCCACTGTCAGCATCTAATACTTCTGATGTTGTTTCCAACCAGGAAAGAAAAACCCAGAATGTTTAATTCTATCTACATATCTCCATGTGAAAGGCATTCCAGTGGAGGTTTAGATTGGATATTAGGAAATATTTCTACATTCAAAGAGTGATTAACTTTGGAACAAGCTTGCCAGGGCAGTAGTTGAGTCACTATCACTGGAAATGTTCAAAAAACAGGTAGACATGGCACTTCATGATATAGTTTAGTGGTCGTGGTGGTATTCAGATGAAGATCATTTTGGAGGTTCTTTTCAGCCTTAATACTTCTATAATGCTAAGATTCTAAGGCCACCTTAAAGTCTGATAACAGCTTCAGACACACCTGAATCTGTTCACTGTCTTCAAGGAATCTTTTTCAGAGAAATAAGCAATTCCAATATTGCAGAATGCACCTAGTGCAGGTAGCTTCATGTCCAAATTGCACATTGTGCCCTGGCTAGAAGGAAATAGCTGGAGCCCCAGGCAGAGAATCACGAATGTGCACAGACCCTTTGTCTAAAAAAGGGTATGGGGTGTGGCTAGTCACCCAGAGACTGCAGGAGCCCACGAGCAACAAGAACAAATGTCACCTCTGGAACAAGTACACACAGACTGGGATATAAAACTCAGGGATTCCTTTGTTCAGGGTCTCTCCCTGGAGATGCCCAGTTTGAGCTGCTTTTGTGTCGCTGCACCACAGTTAAATTACATAAAGGAAACAGAGAGCTAGGATTCTGGTATGGGAAACCCAGACTGAACCAGTAACGGAAAGTTGTCTGTTAGTGTGTGTGTGTGTGGTGAGTGCAGGAAGTCAAGCAGGACATCCATCAGGTCACTGGAGCCACCTGCTGTGAATGGCTTCAGTCCCAGCAGAGAAAGTCAGGTGGTGCAATTGAGCCTCACAGAGAGGGGCATCCGAAAGGTCAGGCAGGAAAGTTCCCTTGGCAGCTGGTTTCCAGTTTTCTGATAATCTAATGAGGCATATTTCTGGACACTTGCACTGGCAGGAGCATTGCACTTGAAATCTCACAATGTCTGAAACTGGGCATTTAGATTCTTTAGTGAGTTTGCAGTTAAAAACATATATTGAGGAAACTTCCTTACAGAGGAAAATTCCTGACAGTGTTCCTTCTTACTTAGACAGTCATTTCAGGCAAGATTTCTCTGGAAGACATGAGGTATCTTCTTCTCAGCCCCTTTCCTTTTCTACTGTAGGAAAACTGCACTTTCCCTAGTGTTAACTTCTTGATCTTATATATTTTCCTTTTGATGATCAATGCATTCTAGATGAGAGAATCTGATCCCTTTCCAGAGCAGGCATTATAAATCTGTTTGAATCAGACTTAACCCTGTAAAGTTTCCAGACTTTAAATGGCTGGTAGTATAGCTTGCCCTTTTCCCTAGTCGTTCATTTTTTTCACACTTCCATTTTAAACAGCAACAAGACATGTGGTCTTTCCCACATGCTACCCTACTATTCCTGTTCCATCATATATTTGCCATTAATATTCATACTTCTTAATGTACAATTCATTCTTCTAGAAAATAGTATAAATATTGTATATAATTATATCTTTTTCAATTTTATTATAGATTTTATATTTTATATCTACAAATAGATAAAAATTATATAAATATGTATAAATGCTGTATAAATAAATCCTGATTTTCCTGTAGCTCCATTTTTTCTTTATTTTTCATTCCAGTTAAGACATTAGATCTTTTTCAAGTTGTTGTAGCATGGTCCCTCCAAAATCAATATAGGGGAAAATAGCTCTTTCAGTTTAATGATCCTTAGACTCCAGGTGTAAATCTGAATTTCAGAGCTTTGTCAAATGTCTGTGTCAAAAATGTTATTAATTCCAAAGCAAAATGAATTCAGCTTAAGAAATCTCACCTGTATTCCATGAAACACGAGGGGCATTCGTATCTGTTGTTCTGATAGAAAGATGCACAGCGATTGGTAAACTCCTTTCAAAGTACAAGTCATGCACCTCAAATTCCACCTGTTGTGAAAATAGATAAACTGCTTGTTGAAAACTGGAAACCAAATGTAGTTAAAATAGACAAAGTGCAGTCTCTCCTGAGAGATCTTACAGGCATCTGATAATATGTTAATTTAAAAAAAGCCCTTGATTTGGCTTCTAATAAGAGCCATGGAAGTTCTGCACAAAACTGAGTATCTGCATTCTTTACTCTTTGCAGTTAATTTTGTGAAACGTAGTTTGTAGTGCGTGTAATTTTCATTTTATTTGAGGAACAGTTAAATCATCAAATAATATAGAGCTTTTTTTAACTAGTAGTAATAAGAAGTTGTAGAAGACGTTTCCTGCTCTTTTAAGAGGTGTAGGACCAAAAATAGATTTGACAGAAAATATATGCACTGGTATAGAAAAAAAAAATTAAATTAAATTAAAAAAAAAGAAGAAAAAATCAAACTCTTGAGTTGTCAGGCTCCAGAGCTGTCAAATTCTTGAATCAAATCTGCAATCAAACAATGCTGAAAGCAGAACGGAAATGAGGCACTTAAGGAGTAGATATTTTGGTAGGATGTCTTGTCCTCATATTAAGGAAACAGGGAAAGGAGGTTATTGTGACAGCCAAGAAAAGAAAAAGCAAGAGAACTTTTGTCAGCAACAATTGCCAGTTACTGTTGCTGTTGCTCTGCTTTCCAGACAACCCTTTCCTTAGCTTACCTTGCTCTCATTTTCTGTTCCTTCAGTTTTATTATTTTATTACCAACCATTTTACTTTGATTGAATAATTCCTTGAGTACCTTATCAGAGAGTTATTTCATAACTTACTCAAGAGCCTGCAGACAGAAGCCTGATCTCATTCGTCATTTGCATCATGCTCTCTGTGTTAGTGACCTGCTTTTACTACTCCCAGCAGGAACTGTTGGGAACCCCTTTTTGTTATCCCTAAACCACCATTATCACAGCAGGTAGGCTGTAAGGCCAAATAGTAATCCTGGCCTTTAACTGGTCCATCTTTCATGACTTTAAATATGTCATCTCTGCACAGGGATCAGGGATCAGTAACAACACCATGCAGGGATAAAAGCTGCGTGGAAAAGGCACGACTGATCTTTCCAAAGGCTCTGGGGTAGACATACAAGCACTATTCCTCTTATTAAAAAAAAAATCCAGTTTAGATATTTCTCTGAGGGAGTAAAAGGTTTTCAGTACAAAGAAATTCTTATGTAGTGAGCAATAAACATCTATTTTGTGTTAGTCAAGATGATGTGTCATAGTAGAAAGTGGCAAAAGATTTTATTTCTGCTCCTGTATTGCATATAGCTTTTAAAACTTTTTTCCCTGAAAAATATCCATTACATATGATTACATTTATTTCCTTTTTACTTACTCTTAAGGAGGTGAAAACCAGCAAATGTTCACACATCTCACTGTTACCTCATAATTCCTCCTCTCCGTGTGGCTGTTATTTGGAGGCTGATAAGCAATGAGCATGTCACTGAGATCCTTCCACGTGAAGGAGCCAACAGGTTTTGTGTGGTCAGAGAGGTGAGTGATAAAGCCCTGTGGAGGTGGCTTGGTAATGTTGAATATAAGAAGGGACTTTGGAGTTTCATTGTCTTCGGCATCAATGGTTGTGGTTGTAATAGGGGTTAAAATAAACTGATCTACTTCCAGGATGAACTTTGCCATTGGGGTAGCTTTGGGTATTTGGTTGGGAACAGCACCTCTAATCCGAACAGGGAGCCATGCATATTCTGTCTGCAACAGGAAAAAAAATTAGACAACTGAAAAGGCAAAGTAAAGTGCAAAAATAAATTCAATTTCTTTTAGCTTCACATAGCAAATCAGGGTACAAGTTAAAGCAATAATTATTTTGAAAATAAAAGTTGAAATATTTTAATTAGAAAATGCCTAGAGTAAATATTGAGACATCAAGAATATGACTTTCAGGTTCACTAGTCTTATTTGTGTCCGTAATTTGGGGCTGAAATTACTTACTTAATTTGATGTAAGTTTAATGAATAACCTTATCTGACAGAAACATGCACAAGCTGTTAATTATTATTAACTGAATATGTTCACAGAGCTCTTAACTTATTAATTACTGTACATGTTGAAGTCAGTGCAGATCATGCTGTATAAAAGTTGTGGAATTATGCCAGAATTAATTTTTCTCTCAGGATAAACTACTTACATCTGACAGTAATCAACCAGAGGTGCTTCTCTGTATCCATAATGGTCTAATCATAGACCACTGCCATGGAGATAATGCCTTTCATTAGCTTAGCTGGCAAAGTTCTAAGAACTGAAAAACTTAAAAGGCTCCCTATCTCTCTTCAAGTGTGACAAGGAGCAAAAATTTTATTAAAAAAGAAACAACAACAAAACCACAGGATGACAATCAGACATTATAAACTTGCATAAAAATCTACCTTGTGCAGAGTTTTGCTTCTGCTGTCTGAGAGATCCAACCTCACGGGGATGTAATCAGTGTCAGGTGAGGGGGGGTAGAGGTGTTGATACTGAATTCCCATCCCCAGAAATTCTTCACAGCTCATCTTTTTGTTGTTAATAACTCCTAGTCCCAGTGTACAGCTCCCATTTTTGCAGTGTTGGCCCAGGCTGCGCTCTGTAACCCAACATAGTGAAACTGTTACCGAAGCAGAAACCAACCAGGGAACCAGCCCATGCAGCTAAAGTAACCCTGAGAGAGGCTCCTTTCCTGACTTAATTTCTCCTACAGGGTTTTGTTTCCAACTGACATCTTCCAACTCCATCCTCCCTTGGTGTCTTGGTTAGGTGCTGTCTCTAGCAACTACTTGTGCTGTTTCTATTGAGTCTTGGCACTGTCACATTGGTCCACATGTCTAGGAGCCAGAAACAGAATCCAGTCAAGGAATTATTGACCCAGATCTGTGATCTGCATGGCGCCTCACAAAATCGTCATGTCCCTTTCGTGCTCACGATAGCTCAAGCTGTTCATTAAACTTCACACGACCTTCTCACTGTTACACAGCAGGACTGAAACAACCCACTGCTGCAGACATGATCTGCTGCATCTCTTCAAATGTGCTAAGGGAAACAACAAAAGCATGTCATACTAGTACCAGGGAAGAAGCCCCGTGGCTGATCTCCACGAAACTGCTCTTGCCGCACTTTCCGGGCAATAAGCTGGCCATGAGCAGGCAGGTGAGTTTCTGAAGAGATTATGGAAATGGAGCAATCCAGGTTTATCTTTCTGTCATAATCAAAGGTGAGGATATTCTTGTCAATCACCCTAGAGAGACCGTAGTATTCAGGGACCTCCAAAGCATGGGAGCGCATTTTTATGATGTTACAGTCTGGCTCAAGTAACTGTACATGAAGGGTGAATGTTTCTACAAATGTTTCCGTTTCTGTAAACCTGCAAGTGAAAGAACAAAATTAGTTATGTATCAATCCGTCTTCTTCTTCCAATTCATCGCTTGTGATTGTCCTCCTTTTCTAAACTGAATTACTTGAACCCCTTTCTCTCCTGTGTGTTCAAGCCTTGAATCACCATAATCCAGACCCTGCTACCCAAATCCTCCTATTTATAAGTGGGGTGTCTATGTGAAGGAAGAGGTTACTCGCTGTCTATGTATGAGAGTGTCTGTCCCTATCATCAGGGCAGTGGAGAACATGCAGTAGCCTGAAAGAGATACCTTAGGTTTCAGCTTTCGTATTTTCCAACTTCTGTACTGCATTAGTACATAGCTCTGAACTTCATATAAAGTGTTAGCAAGTTCTCTTCACAGCTAAATTAGACAAAATAATCCTTTTCCAGCCTGAGAGCCAAGGATACTGTTGCAGCTCCAGGCCCAAGAAGTATAAACAGGAAAACTGAGAAGAGCAACCTGGCAGGTTGGGACCTGAAGCTGTAACTGGATAATTAACCCCAACATGCAAATGAACCAAAACTTATAAAAGTGTGAAAATTCATGACTAAGAATCCACCTTGAGTCCATCTTGGGTCCATCTTAGGTGTAGCTTTGGTCAGGCTCTTGTGCTGACCGAGGCATATCCTTCGAAGGCCTGTTTTAATAAATACCTACTTTATTCTTTTAACACTGTCTAGCCTCTGTTCCAGGTAGCCTCACAGGGCATCAAAAGTACTACTGTCCCTTTCCTTAGCATAGTGAAAAATCACTGGTTTTGTGTAATAAGCCAGCAATACATAATACATGTCAAATGAGCATATCTGCAATATACTGTGAGAATTTTTTCTATAAACAGATGGTCACTTGTTGACTAGTGATGCAGCTACTGGATCTAAGTAGTTACAACATGTACAGCAGAACATGCTTTAACTGTGAAAAATTGCTTGCTCTTCCTAAGGTCAGCTGGGCTCCTGGTAACAGTGAAGTGTGACCTGCTTCTGCTGCTTACCTGTACAGCCTAAGCATGACCATGTCTTCATCTAAAATTGGACATCCATTGTGGGTATATTTGACTTCATTAGGAAGGAAGTGACAGTCAAAAACCTAAGAAGGAGAAAGAACAGACTGGCACCATGCTGCCAAAGATGTTAACTTCACATCATCTGTTCCACTTCTCTCTGAGTGCCTGGAATACATCAGACTGAGAAAATTCTTAATATTTAGTTCTTTCTATGAATAGATATTCACCTGTGCTGTAATCTCCCAGTGAGGGTCAGAGCAACTGGTTAAACATGGGGCTGCCAGCACTCCACAATTAGAAGGGCAAAGGTCACATGTGATTGTTTCAGGCTGCCAAGTCCCTCCCAGGTACAACAAATAGTTTGACCTCACCTTCTTTACCACTGCAGCCTCTGGAGTTAAGGGTGCAGATATATCCAGCAGTGAATACAACTGCAGTGCTGCTGAAAAGCCAGCCATTACAGCATTGGAATTTGAGATTTATTGACTTTTAAAGTTGCTCATGACAGTAGCTTGATTATATAGTAAATCTTGCTTTATGGCCCCTACTACTGTACCACAAAAGTACAACCCAGTGAAATTTTTCTGTTAGAAACCTCACTAGCTCAGAGCTGTTCCTAGTTTTTGTGATACTGACTTTGTACCAGGAGCTCTTTTCTAGATCAGACATTATCTCTGTGTCATATAAACATCCAGCCCCAAAATCAGTGTAATCCACAGCACACAAGCAAGAAGATACCTTTATTTCCCTACCAGCTAATTCAAAATAGACTAATTCTTACAACACAGCTGATGCAGGCAAAATTTGTAAGTCTATCTGGCCACAGTTGAACCATCTAAGGCAGACACTTCTTTCAGGCAGATTGATTTATTTAATGGTTGGTTGGCTTGTGAAAGCAAGGCAATGAGGAAGAATTTATGCCTGACATAAATAGAATAAAGATTGCTTTGACACACCCCTTCTTTGGAAAAGGGATTTGGATTCTGAGGCATACAATTTTTGTGTTCTCAAATACTGCAGTGTGCAAGACTGGGAATTTTAATTCCCATGCAGTATTGTTTCTTTACTGAAACACCACCTGAAAGCTCCTAGCATTGATAAGACTATGTCTGTGTTATCCTTGTGATAACAGGGAGTCCCTACTCAGTCCATGGAGGATGAAAGATGGTCATATTTCATATCTACAGAGAGAAAATGGCATATTCTGGCCAGCAAGAAATCAAAATCACTGCATTTCCTAAGCATTTCACTATGAATATAAATGTATTTGGTTATATAGATTTCCACAGAGTAACATGAAATCTGTCCAACATTCACTAACAGATCTAATGAGGCCATAACTAACAGAAATTAATATATGTACATGATGTACATGGCTGACTGACTAGCCACATTTTTTTTTTAAAAAAAAAAAAAGAAGAGGTAATTTCTTAATGACAGTAATTTTTCAAAATATGACAAAAAATGATGCCTTGCATGAATTGCCTTTGTTTCCACAACCACTTTAGATGATGGTGAAATGGCTGAGGGACTTTAACAAGGTTCTAAAATGTTGGCTGAAAGCATAGCTCATAGGGAAAATCTTTGGATGCTCTGACTTTCAGTGCAAAATTTATGTAATAATTTAATTCTAAATTAATTGTTAATGCATAGTTAAATGAAGCACCTCATGACCACCTTGTGGATTTACACTAAAGGACATAAGAATTATTGAACTTTGTTTATTTCCAGCCATTACACAGAGGAGAGCTTACATCCTTCTATAATGGAAGAGTAGAGTTTCTCAGCTTTCATTATTAGTGAAAGGGTCTACTTCCAGTGAAGCTATTTTCAGATGCTCAAGCAATGTGATAACTTTTCTATATTCCTAGGCATTTTAAAATTTCTTGCCTGATTTTAACTTTCATCAAGAAGTGCCTTGTACAAAGTCTATCCTTTTTGCTTTTTTTTTTTTTCTTTTAAGTAATGAGTTAGTTGATTTTCTGACATATATATATGGATTAACTTCTTGGAATAATCTGTGGTGTTATGGAAAATGTGCTTAGTTTTATTTGTTGGGACTGCTTAGAAAGGAAGGACAAGAGAAATTTGTTGAAAACAAAATTACTCCCATATGATGAAAGTTTTGATTATGTTGTGGCTGTTCTGATGCATATTATTTTCAAATTTCTTAGAAATATGTGCTCTGCTTTTTTTTTTTCAATCAAAAACAACAAATATGTCTTTTTCTTAATATCCTTATTATTATTATTATTATTATTATTATTATTATTATTAGCCTAATATCCTTTCCTTCTTAGTACAAACAAACATAAAGGAATGTGATATTTAAGTAATCAATTGGAGAGTTTTATATGATATTCTACCAAAACTGAAAATAAAATTAAATAGTTATGTGGTATGTTATCTTAAAGAAAAAAATAAGCATATTACATACAAAACCCATTCATACGGTAGTTTCAGAAACATAATGTTGTACACTGAAACTAAGATTCTTCACTGACATAAATCAGTGTAGAGCTCTCAAAGTCAATAGGATTTTGGTTGGATAAGGGTGCTGTGAGGGCCAAGTCCAAAGGGATTACAGAAGTCCAGATAAAAACATCTGAGCCCTTCCCTTGGCCGCTGATGGAGTCACTCCATCACAGAAAGACAATGGGTTGGCCAGGCAGCACCAGCCATTGGTGAAGCCATGCTGCCTATCTCAATTCCACTCCTTGTCCTCCATGTGCCTTAGCACAGCTTCTAGGAGGATCTCTTCCCTGATTTTCCCATGCAAAGAGTGGACGCTGATGGGTCAATTGCCAGGAAAGATCTACCTGTTTTAAGGAGGGTTGCTGTATGGATGTAAGGATGGTCCCTTTTCCCAGTCTGGAAACTGGGATTTCACCTGACTGCCATGACTTTTCAAGCATCACTGAATGTGGCTTCACAACTACATCAAACAGTTCCCTAAGGACTTTGGGCTGCATCTCACTGAATCCAATCATATCAAAGAATTAATGTTCTTAATTTTAAGACATCTTTAGTTCCACATCTTAACTGGTAACATGGGATTGAAAAATTTAGAACCTTTCCACAAAGGTTTGTTACCACTGACTGACAGGGAGTCTACATGTGCATTGAGACGCAATCTGCTTTGCAAAAAGAAACATCTGGTTTATATTTCCTGATATTTTTTCCTTTTGTATAAACAGGCAACTCTAATTGTCTATAAATTCAGTGGGTAAGACAAAGGAAATATCTAAATATTTTCCTAATTACTGTCAAGCTTTGGTTTTTTTCCACTTCAACTGCTTTTCAATTACAATTTATAATTAAATTGTCATACATTCCTAGAATATTACTGACTTTAATGGTAGTAAACCAGATCACACCAGAGAAATTTTCTGGCTGCAGAATTTCCTGTAGAAAGATCATGAGTGGCACAAGGAGATCTGGACTCTGGCACCTTGTTTCAGGAATGGTGAAAGCTCAGGCACCACTAGCAGTCACGGCCTCTCTCCAGCCAGGTGCCCTAGGGCCACCTGTGCAGCAGAGCTCTTCCCTCTGCATGAGTCCCTGCAGCTTCCACACTCTGTTAATAACTCTAATAATGAATCTGTGCCTGGACACATATTCAGGGCCATGAAAGAGCAGGTGCTTAACAGAAGTGGGGCTGGGAGAGGAGAAGTTGTTTGGAAAATAAGGTGCAGCAAATGCACACATCTCCTGGGATCTCTTGAAAAGGGCTTCTAGCTATGTGCTTGAAGCATATTGGGTTGCACAGGACAAAGTGGCTATTTCAGAATACCTGGGCACATAGAGGCCACAGAAGAAGTTGAAAGCAATGCTACTCCTCAGCCAGAAAAATTGCCTACAGAAGAGGTTCTCCATAGTTTTCACATGTAAGTCCCTCATTTTCTCCTCCTTTTTAGATCGGATATTATGAAAAAATTCTTTACTGAAAAGTTGGTCAGGCATTAAAAGAGGTGCCCCAAGGAAGTGGTGGAATAATCCCCATACCTGGAAACATTCAATAGTTGTATATATGTAGGTCTTAGGGATATAGTTTTAGCACCTGGCAGTGCTGAGTTAATGGTTGGACTCCATGTCCTTCGATGTCTTTCCAGACTTAATGATTCTATGTTTGTATGAGTCAAGGACCATACTGGGGAAGCAGAGGTGGGGACTATGGTCAGCGTCCCTGTGCTGGCAGGAAGCAAGCCCTGGGTAGTTTCAGCAGATGCACTACACTATTTGGGGCAATTCTCTAGAGAAGATCACACATTGTCCTGCCCATCACCTCCTGTTTTCCCCGGTATTTCTCTCCTCCTTAGGAAGGCTGAAGGCTTAGGAAGCAATAGCTGATTCAGCTGAAGTACTTGTCAGTGGTTTGCAAAAATAATACTGATGACCAAGACAGAAGTTTTGAAACATCCATTGAGACTGGTAGCTCCTTCATTTATCTTCACAGAAGACACCAAAAACCCCAGAAAGGAAGTTAAAAATTATATTCATATACAAACACACAAAAGTGTATGCTGTGGCACAAACCAGAATTTTTCAAAACCCCAAAACCTGTTTGGTTATAAATCATTAAAACCAGATATCTTCTGCCTATAACATTACATCTTCATGACAGCTACTTTCAACTCCTTCCTGCTATAACTCAGGTGGGGCAATTTGTAAAGCAGTTGAGTAGAAGAATGGTAATATGTGAAATATATTTCATTAATCCTACAAGCTTGACATTTGAACAGAAAACAGGGGAGTTTTAATGTATTTGCCATCTGCTAACAATTTGGCTGTTGCAGAGCAGAACAAATAATGCTGTACACAATGCACTTATTGTATGTGATTATTTTTTTCTTAATTGCTCCTTAAGTAGTGGCTCCGTGACTAAAATTCAAAATGCTGTAGTGGGCTGTGCATTACTGAAGGGGCACTGGTTACCCTCATGTGAGAAAAATAAGCAGCTGAGAGACTGGAGGTTACCTCCTAACTGGAAGTTTTGAAATACCCATTCTTCACTTGTGAAGGGAGACTCTGACCAGACTCACTTCTGTGCACTTCTGCTAGTGAGCTCAGCTTTTGGATTTTAGGGTTTCAGCTCTCTGCCAGCTGTCTACTTAAGCAAAAGCCTGAATCTCACACAGCGTTCATTTTCATGCCTTTTAATCACTACCTAAAAGAAGAACAAAAATCAATAAAGCAGCTCATTTCAGTTTCTCTCAGACCTGCACACACTTACACTCAAAGCAGCAAAACAGAGCCCAAATACCTGTGGAGTAAGTTTCCCAACCCTCTGTGTTATTGGCTCATTAATCACAACTTCTACTTTGCAGACATCCTTCTCTCTGGGGATGGAGAACTTGAGGTCTTCCTCTGACAGGAAGACAGACTGTCCCTTCATCACTTTCATCCCAAGGTTCACACTAATAAAGGAGGAGCACACAACTCTAAACACAACTGGCAGCAGCAGAAACAATGAGCTTTGCTCAAATGGCTTCATATTATAAGGGGGTGCCAGCCTTTTTCACCACTGAAAAAATTTCTTAACAGTAAATTTCTTAAAAGGAGTCTTCTTCCTCCACCAGCAGATTTTTGCCATATAATGAAGGCATTATTATTCACAGGCAAAAATGTATGACATGTTTTCTATTAACAGGCTCTCCTTGACTGAAGGGCAAGGCAGATTTGGGCAGTTATGGGGCAGACATTTACAAAATATCCTTATGTTTTTATAAAATTCATTGGTCAAGCCTGACAAAATGATGAATATGTTCTCAAAGTCCTTTCAAGGCTTGTTAATCCTGGAAAAAAAAATAAAGAGAAAGAAAATTGCTATAAGGCATTGGGCAACTATAGGGATAAAAACATAACAACAAGCATATTCAAAATACTTTCACCATTTCTGACAATTGCAGTTCATTTCAAGCAGTAGATTGACTTCACCTTTGAAAACCATTCAGTGCACACATGCTAAGAAAATAGCAGACAATCCCAAAATCTGAGAAAAATTCAATGGAAATAAAGAAAAGATAATACAGTACAAATCATGGAAGTTTCTCATGCCCCTAGTTAATCTTTCATGTTTATTACCTCATAAGAAAAGAATATTTATTCTGTCATAAAACAAGCACTACTGAAATCCTTTTAAAAGCCTTATTTCTACAACCCTCCAAAGTAACTGAAGCTACAACCCAAAGGATAGGAAGTGATATTATTTAATGAAATTTGGAAGAACATAAGAATTCCAAGGCAGTACAGTGTCAACATTCCTTTAATTTCTGTAAATTTTTAATTCCCTGACTACATATTTGCCACAACCTTATGACCAAAAGTGAACTTTCCTGAAAATGAATTTAAAAATAAATCCTTGTATGTCTCTATTTTCTTTGTTGTTGTTAGCAGGTAAGTGTTCACTGTTTCTGCCAGAATGACCTTATGAGCAGCCTTTAACTGAACACACATTTTAAATTTCACCCAGTTTTAAATTTCACTGAAAAACAACCGGCAGTTCAGAAATTTTGTAAAATTATTCACTTCCTAAAGTTAAACAAGACAGATCCCTCACTTCACCACCTATTTAAGACTGATGACATTGAGACTCACATATATGTAAAGTTAGATGTATGTTGACTATGTAGTCTTGAACAAAAAATTTTAACCCAAATTTTCTAAGTATTTATCTGAAAGTCTTTCCATTTTGGTTTAAAATATTGAAGTCATACCAGTCTGAAGAAAGTCTGAGAGAAAATGTAGAATTCTACTGGTGGAAAAGGAATGGAATCCATGGTAGAATCCATGGCAGAACCATGGTAGGATCCATTATTTTCAGGTAAGAAAATAATTAGAAATTTTAGATTCAGACTAGGACCCAGAAAAGTGCTAAGAGGCAGTATATGACACTGACACATAGACCTGGTGGTTTACATCTCATGACAATGCCACTAACTCTTTGCTACATAATAGCAAGCTGAGACATAGATTTATAGTGCAAAATAGCTTTATTCACTGGCATTTTCTTACACAGCACCTCATCAGAAATTATTAAAAGCCTGGATAGTTTTGACTTTCTCCCCTCTATTGTGGATAGCTATCATAAAACTATGTTAAAGTTGAGAGATAGCTTCATCACCAGTCTGAAAATGGCATTCATGCAGAGGCATCTGCATTTTGACTCTGCTACAGCCCAGGTTCATCTGTTTCTGGTGCCTGCCCCATAAATTTCAGCATGCAGTACAGCTGTAAACCTCTGGTGCAGGCAGTGGTTTCTACGTTGCCTTTTCTTACCCTGCATATAAAAAACCAGAACATGAAGTCTACAAGAGGAATCAGGAGAATTTTGATCAATTTTATGGTGGATGTATGAGACATTCTCTGCTACAAATTTGGTCCTGTTGTCACTGTGTGTGACAGTCTTGCTTTGACCACTTTAATTTGCAAATACAGCTCCTATATCACTATATGTTTGCCCCATATGTTCCAGGAGCTGGCCTCTACTTGAATGCTCTAGGACTGTCTCCTGAGGTGGCCAAGTGAAGATCTTGGGAAGTATAACCTCACTTTCCCAATTACTTATACAATGGCAAGAGATTCTTTCAGCACATAATGACAATAAAAATGAGAAAGTTTCATGGAGACATCCTCCCCAACATCGTCAACATCCTCCCTATCTGTGAAGAAGGTCATTACCTCAATCAAGTTGTGTGTGCTACATGGTACTTTATTGATTGACAGTGTCCTGCTCTTCAACAGATATACAACTGCTGGTGATGCCACTGTCACATCTTGTGGCTGATCTGGACTTCCTTGCAATCTCCTTACTTCTCTGCCCTTAATATCACAGCTGGGCCTGATCCACCTCTCCTATCCCTTGCCATGTTACCTGTGTCACATGGACATACAACTAAGGGACTGCTTAATTCCAAATGCATCACAATATTTCAGATATATTTAGTGGCCTAATGAAATAATGGTATTCATGAGCAACTCAGAAAGAATATCAGCATTCTGAAATTAAGCTGTTTCCTCATCAGCTTTCTGAGGGTCTGTCTATATGACAAAACAACTGAAACAACAGAACAACTCCAGGCTCACTGTGCGAGTACAAGCTCACAGAAAGCTACCAGCTTTTGTCCCAGAAGTGAAACAGTCATGTCAGTTCAGTGATCTATCATATACTAGTTGTTATCCCTCAGTGGGATGAAGCACAGGAGAAGCCAACACATCTGGATTTGTTCAGCCTGAAGAAGAGAAGCTTTATTGCTTATTTTTAGACTTCTAACAGAAGAGCGCCTGGAGCATGAGACATACAAACCTACTAAAATAGCAAGGTTTATTTAATAAACTACTAATCAAGGCCTGAGTTGCTTGATGTAACTTTGAAGCCAGATTTGCCATAAAACTGTCTTTTCTTGGAGAAAGAGGTGGGTGCAAATACCTGCAGAGGGTCTAAATCATGTGCTGACTCTAAGCTGAAAAGACAGAGCCATCTGACTGCTGGGATCTAAATTAATTACCTGGTGTATTTTTGCAAGACACAGCGTGATACCCTGCCACCTGTCCAGTAATTCCCCTGAGATCCAATAGAAACCCATACTGATATGGAAAATGTGGCAACAATCAGAGAGACCTCCTTTCCCATAATTAGAGGCGGATTAGACAAGCTGGCTCTGAGATTTGGAAGCCTGGAAGATAAGTCGGGAAGATGTGCCCAAGGCATTGAACAAGACAGCCTGACATTTGGCAGGGGGAACTCCAAGGACCTACTCATCTGCTGGCAACTCCTGCCCACTCATCAGACGAGCCTGGGGGGAAGGCAGAGGGAGAAGGGGCCTCTGAAGAGGCAGTGAATGCAACTCTGTAGAGTTGACAGAGGGCCATAACAAACTGGGGACAATGTGGAGGAGGGTTTCTGTTAAAAATTTCCTCCAAGTGACAGAACTGGCTTCCCCCTCAGGGCTGCTGGTGCACATGTGAGAAATTATGCAATGGTTTAATTACAAACATAACAATTAGAGAGTCTGATTCTGAGCAGAGCTACATTGATGTAAGTAAAAGATTAATCCAAATTATTTAGACAGTTATCTACTAATACAAATCAACTGAAAATAAAATCTGAAACAGCACTAGTAAGTCTCAGCTTTAATACCTATAACTTGACTAAAATACCTGTAATCACAGCTGACCTTGAGCCAAGTCTCAATGATACCCAAAGCCTTCATGGGGATTTGGATGAGACTTCAAGACTTTCTCTGTATGTGACAAAATCTCTGGTTGCCTGGGATATTTCCCTGAGCAGATGGATCAAAATTGCCCTATTCTTTTGCAAAGCTGGAAGGGGATAATGGAGAATGATTGTTGTGGGTTTGAAGTTGGATTGATTTGTTTTAATGAATGCCAGAAAATTTTGCAAGAAACAGAAAGAACATGCAAATTTTTTTAAGGACAATTTCAAAGAAAACAAGTAAGAGCGTTCCATGATTTCTAGGAAATTAGGTGAATATTATTACAGCAATTAAAATCTAGTCCAGAGAATTGAAAGGATCATGAACTATTAAATTAGAGGGTTATCACTCCACAATGTGTACTCAACACATGCACCCCTTGGGCTGTTTGCTGTTTAATGGTTTTATTCCATGCACTACAAGCAAGGATCATGGGTCACCAAGGAGCTAGGTATTTGGCAGGGTGTTTGCTGAGTTAAGGAATGGCAGATAACACCCTGTGAGTAGTTACACCTTGGACACGTGCCAACAGCAGAGATGCATTTTGCCTGAGGTAAAGTGCAATCCTGGGTTAGCTGGGACTGTGACTAGTAGAATTCTCTAACTAGAAAACACATAATTTGCAATATCCCCTTTTTATAAACATTTGAAGAAACAGTGTGTAATAATCTGCAGAATTTGTTGGAATGCCTCAGCAAAACTTAGTGAAAGCAACTTATTTCTAAAAGGTCATGGTTCCAGATAAATACATAGAAATCAGCAGGAAATGTAAAACCTTTGTAAGCACACATGTGTTAAGGAACACACACAAGATTTATTCATACATGTGACTAATAAAACGCTGCCTAGTTTAGATGAACTGAATCAGCTGTCTCAATGAACATGAAAATGTAAAAATGCTGACAGACCTCTACTGCAAAATAAGTCTACAATTTTAAAACATGCATTTTAAAAACACGTTATCCCAGCTAAATTAAATATATCCTTTTTAATTACTTACTAGCATCAAAAGTTCTTAGCATATATTTCAGTGCTTTTTTTATCACAATTTTTCTAGTTTGTCTCATTAATAAGACAGTTCCAAGAAGAGAAATCTTATTTATTTCTTCCAAGTTTTAAAGCCACAAAGTTTTATTAGATCTGTTGGAAAAAAGCCAGCACAGTTGAGAAATCCGTAACGACTTGAATATTAGGATAAAGTTGTTTGGAATCCAAACTTTCCAGTTAATTTCTACTAAACCACTGGCAAAACCCAGTGCCTCGAAGTTAGAACTGAGCTTTCATCCATCTCGAGCTCAAAAATTACTGTCTGGCTGCAACATCCAGCAACAAACTGAACTCTGCAAGCTGTTAAGCACTATTACAACCACAAACACAACAGCATTCAGTGTGTACACCAAACTTGAATAAGATACTTACAGGTAGCAGTGTTTTCTGCTGCAGGCTGAACATGAGATCATATTAGAAAAAGAGGGAAAATGTATGTCACTGACCCAGTAATTTCTGTTTTAAAAGGCTGGCAGAGAAAGATATCCAATGAGTGAGCGACAGAAAGAAAGCAGAGAGGGGGAGGGGAGTGAGATAGATGAAATTCCAGTCTTTCTGGTCAGCTTGGCAGTAGTTTTCTCTGCACTAAAAATCCACAATAAACACTCCTTGCTTGCAAGACTGCTCGTGACTGCAGAGTCGCAAATTACAAATACTTTTGGGCTCTGTATGATAAGAGCACTCAGAGATGCCTGGTAGTGTTTATATTCAGTAATGCTTCCCTGCTAGCCAGCCCCAGATCTTCCCTTCCCCTTCTGCCGGCTAAGTCTGCTGGGACTAAAAATCAAGCTGCTGTTACTAAGGTTTGTTCTTTTTTCTTTTTTTTTTTTGTCCCCACTTTTGCTAGTTTATTTCCTTTGGAAGATGCACAAACACACCACCACCACCGCCACCACAGCAGTATTCAAATTTTAATTTTCTTTTTTTCCCATTCAGAACAGCAAGAAAGACAAAGAGTACAGGCAAAATCCTACCAATTATTAAATATCTCAGCCTTCTGTTACGACATTCACATCAGGTTTAACTGGCTGATGAGATTCTCAGTAAAAAAAATGCAAATTTTCTTAGGCAATACAGTCTCTGTGCTGTGAAAATTAGGGCAGTCAGGTTTACTCCTCAGGGTGCATCCATGAGCCTTACAGTGGTGCATGGATGCACCCTGAGGAGTAAACCTGACAGCCCTAATTTTCACAGCACAGAGACTGTATTGCAAAGTCACAATGCAGGGACAGTCTATCTTATGTCCACCTCAGCACAGGGACCTAAAGAACTTTTTAAGTATACAGGAAAAAAACCTTTTCAGCCCAGCCACAGGGCATTGTGACGAGGGCAGGATGCAGCATGCAGAAGAGCTACTGGCTTCCAGGTTGCTTGTGTAAACAGGAATCAATCCCATCACAACTGTAGCACTGTAACATTGTCTCCCCTTGTCCTCCTTTGAGTAAGCAAGCTAACTCTGACCCTCATATGGAAACAAAACCACAATGTAAAAATGTAAAACTGAAGTCAATAGGAAGAAAGAAAAGAAACAGCAGATGTTCCTGTGGCATGACTTATGTACAGATGAAGAAAACAGATGACTGTTGAAAATTAAAATGAACTCAAAGCTACACAATGTGTAATGTGATACAATCTGGCCTATATTTCCCAAAGCAAAAAACACCAGCAAAAAAACATTTCTTTGAGGTACATTATTCGTGTTAGAGTGGAATACTGTCCTGGTTTTCAGACCACACGTTTTATCAGGTTTCAGAAAAACTTGCAGTAAATATTTGTCTCCTCTGAGTTGTGTAGATGGCTGTGGGTTACCCAGATTGTTTCTGGTTTTGCTTGCTGAAACACAGCTTCTAATTTACTGTGATGAATGGCCTGTCTGTATTGTACAGTGCTCTGATTAGGAGCATCAGCATAACTGTCCTTACAGGCTGATTAAAATAGTGGCAGCTTATATTAAAGTCTGTGACACATTAATCAATAATATCATTCCAGAAGCTGTCTTCAAACTGGTTTTATTACTGCAGCAATGAACTTAGCATCTCATTTCTTATTGTACTCCTTAACTGCAATTAGTTTTTGTAATCTATCAAGGTCACATTATCTAAAGGGTAGAGCAAAATTACCCAAGCTTTTCTTGATAAATGCCAGAGCAGAGAAAATAAGACAAGGCTTTTTTACAACGCTCATTCTTTCCATTTCAGTGTTTGCCCACACAGGAAAGAGAGTAGTCCTGCCTCCCATAGAGGAAATTTAAGCACAATATCTATTTTTATCAATTATTAGTAAAATCATGCAGTCCAGACTGTTGATAAGAAGGTAATAAGTAAAAAGTTTTCTGTAAGCTTTTGTTAACAAGATACAGCCAAAATCAGACCCTTTCTTTACAGGCTTTAATTTGAAAAATAATAAAAAAAGGCCATACTTGAAGCACAAAGCAGGCAAGAAGACACAAATGCACCTCACACACAGCCCCATTTCTCCTCTTTCATTTTGACTTACATTGATAAGCAACGGTCTAAACCCACATTGTCTGATATCTGCACATTCATTCAACGCTCCTGTAAAGAGGATGAGGCTCTCAAAGGAACAAAAGACTTGTCCCTGTCCTGATCTGGAGGCTGTACAAGAGGAAGATCTGCTGCATTGTGAGGCAAAAAAGATACAATTATTTTCCAGGTATTTACTACATGACATTAATTTTATTGTGTGAGCAAAAATACCTGGTAGCAGCAGTCCATTCTTCATACAACTTTTAAAGAAAATATTCTGATGCATCAATATCTTACATGGAGCACAGCTGTCAGAAGATCAAATGCACTGGGTCATTGCCAGCTGCTTCATTGGAAAATACATGCAGAGAATCTATAATGGCAACGTTCTTGATCAAAGACAAATTACTCTAATTTTTTGACTGCAGAAGGGGCATTAGACATAGAGAATGGTATTATGGAAAGTACAACAGGGCAGCACAAAAATATTTGGTTTGTGTCAAGCAGATCAAAAGCTGCCTGAATGCTTGAGACAAATGTGAGTGGTACTTCCAGTAAAATGAGTAGCTTCTTTGGGAAATGCATATTCAGTCCTATTATCTCCAATTTTAAAGACATTGCTGTCTTTTTTAAAGACTTTTTGATATTTTGTATCTTGAGCTAGACCCTCAGATGTTGCAGAGGGCAGTGAAGGGACATCTTCAAAGACTTTGGCATCTTGGCAACCCCTGCAGTCCTTTGCCCCTGAGTCCTTTGCCTAGTGCGTATCTGGAGCACGTCACCACTAGTAAGGTTTCTTCAAATTATATGTCCATAGGGATTAGTATTCAGGCTGTAAATCATAAAAACACCTCTTCATGGCCATGGTGTTCTTTTCAGAGAAAGGGACTAGCCATAGCTGGATACAAAGCAGCAAAGTCTTCCCTCCATGCTTTCCAGAGTAGCCTCACTGCAGCATGCATGGCCACTGGGATTGTGGGAATATACAACCAGAAATGCTTGTCCCTCACTGGACCAGGACATTAAAGGCACTTAATAATCTCTTAGGAAGGGAAACTCAGCTACCACCATTCTGCAGGACACTTTCTGCAGCACTAAAAGACATGTATGTGTGTGTAAACTTCATCACAGAATTTCTGTTCTTGAAATTATGGGTATTTGTACTTGTGCCCCCAGCATCTATAAAGGTATTTATTCTTTGTCTTCAAAGCTGCTGCCACATCCTTCTCATCTGCAGTAAAAAGATAAAGGTTAGGCTTTCCAAATCTTCAGGTAACAGTATGAAGTGGGTGGCAGCAGCTAAGATGACCACCAGCATTTCCAGCTTTTGAAGGTGGCTAGGGTCTGATCTGTCACACAGGTATCACACACAAGGTCAGGATCAACCCTTTCCTACCTCTTCCTGGTCACAGAGATCCTAGATAGGTTGAGCACCATGAAGATCATTGATTTGGCATCACTGGAGAGCAGCTCTTAATGAACACGTTGGAGGAATGGCAATGTCCCTGTGGCAGAAGAAATAATTATATTCCTGCTTGCAAAGAGCTGGGCTGTTCTTTAATATACCAAGGGATAGAAAAAGCAATTTTTCACACATCAAGAAGCATAGGAGAGAAAGGGTAAACACTATGTGTTGGATATGTAAGCTAAAGAAAGGCTAAAAATAATCTCAAAAACATGAAGGATTGTCTCATGCTGGCAGTCTGCCCACTTTCTATGAAATTGCTCACAACCAAGTTTCAAAATGCATGTTCCAAATGCCAGTGCTTTCCCTCTCTTTCCTTCAAGTCTGATGTTCCATGTCCAATCATTCCACCAAAACCCACAGACCACGTATCCTCATTAATGCAAAGGAGGAATTGTTTTCATAATTAAACTACTATCCAATTTACTTCAAACTGAAAGACTTTTAGGAATATATGCCTTATTGCCATTAAAGTAATTTCCACTCAGAAAAAGTTCCTTAGTTGTTTTAATTGAGATCAATCAAAGTGAATTTTATGAGACTTTGGAGATTTTTATCCAAACTCTTTGAAAATTGGGTCTTTTGTGGTGCAGGGCCTTACTTTGGCTTTAGACCACATATGAATTTAGCCATTTACACAGCTGGTACAAATGGATTTTCATCTCAGTTAATGTTTCTAAAGTTTCACTGTTTCCTTATTTAACTCGATCTGACACCAACTATGAAAGATCTGCAAAAAGAGTTTTCCTAGCAATGCCACAGATTTACATTTTGTATTCTACAGAAAGGTGTATGTTCTGCAAAGTCAGAAAACTTCTCAGAAGCATAATATGGTAGCACTAATGTGTAGAAAATACTGCTCCTGAACTTAACCAGTAGTTCCAGAAAACCCATACTTTTTAGAATACTGAAATCATCTTATGCTGTACAGAGCATGCAGACTGAAAACCAGGAATGCTGGTCCTCATAAACAACCTCCCTTGCATCTGAAGTCTATATTTTTACCAACAGCAGTGTTATAATTGTGATGACATATTCTCAAAACTCTTGCAATCCTTACCTTTTCAGAAGGTATTCATAAGTCTTCAAGCACAGAATAGTGCTTTAATTTGCTATAATCCTCTAAAAAGACCACTTCTGAAGAATTTTCTTAAATTGGCATTCAGCTAAGCTATTATTAAGATGAGCGATTAATTAAAGAAAATTGAAGGAGCCTTCTGAGGCAGAAGAAGAAAAGAAATCACACTAGCTTGCACCCAATGAGGATATCTTAGGGAATTCTAGGAAGATATGGTGCTGTTATCACAGAATCAAACAAAAATCACAGAATCACTAGGTTGGAAGAGACCTTCAAGATCATCAAGTCTAACCCATGCCCTAACACCTCAATTAAACAATGGGACCGCGTGGTTTAGGGCCAGCTGTTCCAGGAGTGTGCTGTGGGAGACGGTGTCAAAGG